ACTTACTTACTTACTTACTTTCGCCTGTTACTCCCAATGGAGCATAGGCCGCCGACCAGCATTCTCCAACCCACTCTGTCCCGGGCCTTTTTTTCTAGTTCTATCCAGTTCTTGTTCATTATTCTCATGTCTGTCTCTATTTCTCGGCGCAATGTGTTCTTTGGTCTTCCTCTTCTCCGTTGACCTTCAGGATTCCATGTGACGGCTTGTCTTGTGACGCAATCGGGTGATTTCCTCAAAGTGTGCCCTATCCACTTCCAGCGCCTCCTCCTGATTTCTTCCTCCGCTGGAATCTGATTTGTTGTCTCCCATAGTAACTTGTTGCTGATAGTGTCTGGCCATCGGATCCGAAGTATCTTACGTAGACAACTGTTAATAAATGGTAAGTCGGCTTACAGTAAACTCTATCAGAGCCTCCAGAGGCTCATAAAGAGCCCAACCAATCAGCGATTAGTTAGAAGCTATGCTACTAAAATAACGAGGTCCTGATTGGCTGTTTAACATACTGCTACTATGGAATCTCAAGGTCTTTTAATTACTATAAAGCCCCTGTTTTTCTGTACACAAATGAACCTTGTAGTAAAGTGCTTCTCTGATACTCGTGTCTTCTCTCTAGTCTTCAAGTTGCTGTATAGTTCTAGCTCGGAGATCCGAAACCAGCTTAGGGAAGCAAACATAACGTTCACAAACGGGCAGACGTAACAGTGGCGACGGGGATTTTGGTACGCAAAAGAAAAAAGTATACAGTTGTCGTCGGGGGTTCTGGTAAAATGAAATACAGCAATCGAGACTTGATTTTGCAATTAAACAAGCTGTAATAATTGCCAAAAAAAATGACGATTTCTCTAGAACAGGCGCTGATAATATTAGAGCACCGGCAACAGCAGATGCTAGCCTTCCAGCAGCAACTATTTGAAACAGTTTTGAACAAAGTTTTCACTAAACAAAATGTTTCAGGAAATAAAGAAATTATTCGTAATGCAGATAATGGTGTAAATATGGCCGTCTCAGAAAAACGCCCATTTGATGGTTCATTTCCCTTCATATCTGATGAAAAAGGCAAAATGGGTAAGCTGGCCGGTTCAGAGCAAGACAATATCTTGCTAAATGCACATGAAACTGTGACAGTATCAGGTATCAAAGAAAAAGAAGGTTCTGTAGACAAAGCCCCGAGCCCAGAGTCAAATGAAGCACCATTGAATCCGCCGATCTCTGAAGACAAAATTCAGTCAGAACTAAACTACGGGTTACATGATATCGGCCAAGAAAGCTGGAATGGTGCACATAACTTTGATGAAAATTCTTATGAAGATGAGGAAAATAAGTCGGTTGAATCAAATGCTGATCAAAAACCTAAGGCAATTTTATTAGATGATGATTCCCCTAGCTATCAAATATCCTCCAGTGAAAATCTTAATGAATTTGATGGAGATGTTCCAGAAAAGCCAAATTCCGATGACCTAAAATCAAATATCGTTCAGCATCATCTATTCATTTCTAGTGGATTCTGCATTCAATACGAGAAATTTGTTCTAAATGAAGTCATACTAATTGTAAATTGGAGATATGAAGATCCAACATTATTTCGTGGGGGAGGAAAATGTTGGAGAATTTTCAAATTACAGATTATTTTTTAAAAAAAAATTCAGACTCTAATCTTCGAATCTTCAAAAAAGGGGAGGTGTTAAGTCAGCTTACAGTAAACTCTATCAGAGCCTCCAGAGGCTCATAAAGAGCCCAACCAATCAGCGATTAGTTAGAAGCTATGCTACTAAAATAACGAGGTCCTGATTGGCTGTTTAACATACTGCTACTATGGAATCTCAAGGTCTTTTAATTACTATAAAGCCCCTGTTTTTCTGTACACAAATGAACCTTGTAGTAAAGTGCTTCTCTGATACTCGTGTCTTCTCTCTAGTCTTCAAGTTGCTGTATAGTTCTAGCTCGGAGATCCGAAACCAGCTTAGGGAAGCAAACATAACGTTCACAAACGGGCAGACGCAACAATAAACACTTGTATCTTCTGGATAATGGCTTTCGTAGTTCTCCACGTCTCTGCCCCATACAGTAGAACTGTCTTGACATTTGTATTGAAAATTCTAACCTTGGTGTTGGTTGACAATTGTTTTGAGCTCCAGATTTTTTTCAGTTGTAAGTATGCTGCTCTTGCTTTGCCGATCCTCGCCCTCACATCTGCATCTGATCCACTGTGTTCATCAATGATGCTGCCCAGATATGTAAAGGTTTCCACATCCTCCAAAGCTTCTCCGTCAAGTGTAATTTGATTGGTGCATATTGTATTGTATCGGAGAGTCTTGCTTTTCCGTTTGTTTATATTGAGACCTACAGCTGCTGAGGCTGCTGCTACACTGGTCGTTTTCTCCTGCATCTCTAGTGATATTCCTAATGAATGTGAGAAATATGTTCCGAATGAGTCGACCTCTAGTCATATTTCTGATGTTATTGTATCAGATGTTGGATATTCTCCAAACCAATGTTTGCTGAGAAGAATCCCTAGTCAGTGGTATGATGAATCAGAGGGAATAGCAAGTTTTCCTGAAGCAATCAGAGAACCAGTTTGCCCAGATATGGAGTTTGCACAGGCAGAGAATCTAAATCATGTCCAAGATTATCCTAATGAGTATGAGGCAGATACATGTTTTCCATTCGTTTGTTTCACAAGTGAATCAAGCCTGGATAAATCGCATGTGTTAATTACACATATCAATGCATATCTATCTTTGTATTTTAATATGAATAACAAAAAGAATATGTATCATAATTTTTGTGCAAGTCAAAGTCACATGATGGAATGCCTCAAATTACGTGTTATTGTTTATCCCCAAATACTGACATCTAATAATCGAAATGTGAGATATAAGAATACGATACCAACTAGGGACTTCAAATTGGTAATAACATTGCGACATAAGGACCTTACATTATTTCGTGAGGGAGGATAGTGTTGGGAAGTTTGATTCAAATTCTAGATATCAGTGATTTTACTACCCAACCGACAGGATGATTGTATACAATTCCAGGACTTAGGTGAGTCTGTTCCAATTTCGGTTTTCAATCCTAATACTAATGTGTGTATTCCAGATTGTACATAGTCTACATCTACTGGGTAGACACGTAATGAACCTACAGAAAAGAGGTGCGATTGATCGCAGAAATCTGAACCTTCATTTAAGCTGTGGCGGATGTGGTGTCTACACTGCTTTAGTTTCATCATATGAAATTTGTTACTTGTATTACTAACAGTTAAGATATATAATGCTTTAATATTGGCCTTATAGGGAGCATTAACTGATATGTACAGGTATCGTGAATCCATTGTTTGGATAGTCTTTAAAGACATTCTTTCTTTTAGTGGAATAGGACTAGTCCATCACGATGATGCACACAATTATTTGGTGTATCAAAGTAGTAAGCACAGAGTATGCTCCATGGACTAGTTGCTTTTATAGTAGAGGTGTGACGTTCAAATCAAAAGACAAATAGACTATTCACCAATTTTATCATTAATCAGACGTTAATCGAGGTTCTAAGTGAATATAAAAACCGAGCTGAGTATGAAATTGTTCTCAAAAGCACTTTGGAACCGGCTTATTTGGACACAGCTAAAGATAACTCAATCGTTATTAAATATGTACAATTAGCAATGTCAGTGTTTTTCTTTTCTCAATTTATCAGGTTTAATTCTGTAGTTAGTACAGATACATTTGGAATCTAGAGGCTTTTGGTGACCATATGTCATACGGGTTTAATTCATTATACGCAGAAAACAATATTATTACTTTATTCCCTGTACTTCTTGTTGTATAGTATTTTTATTCAAAGAACTAAACATTAATTTGTCTTTAAAAACACCTGATACATGGATAGTTTGGACCCTTTTGGATTCCCAGTTTACTAATGTTGCAGTCACATCCAAACTCGTTTCTGTCAAACATAATTCAAAATAGAAAAGCTCGAGTCGGTTGATCCTTTGGTTTTCATTGCGTACCACACTATAATATAGCGGCTACAAATTCCTACTTTGGATTTTGACAAGCTTTGCAACTTATTCATCTTTCTTTTGATGTTTTTGTTCGCCCGATTCATTCTATCCAGTCTGGCTCGTTGATACTGTACTACCAGATTTTCCATCAAGATCGACGTTTCATGATGATGAGGTTGACTCACGTATGATGAAAGCCAGGGCGGCTTATGCCAATCTAGGCCATCTTTGGCGTCTTCGTGATGTTAGTCTGGCTGTAAAAGGTCGGATGATGCAACATAGTGGCTAGGACGTTATCAGAAATGGCTCAGAATAGAAGCCAGTGGCAATCTTGCTGTAACCTTATTTTACTTTCTTCATAAAGAGTGATTATAACTTCCTTAACTGAAAAGTTCTTCTGGTTGTACATATCTGTTTCCCCCATAATTATTCTCCCTATTACACTAACATACACTAATCTGTGGTTGTTATTGTTCTTGTATTTTTTCATATATGCACCTTAGCCTTTTTTTCTCTTCCCATCCTTATTGTTTTGTGTGGCGCATATATATCTGGTGCCCCCTTGTACCAATATTTATGTGTTCAAATAAAATAAATAGACGTTTCATAATAAATGACTAAAGACAGTTGGCAGAAACTTATGACTACAACGCCTCATCATGAGTTTGAACCATCAACAGCCGTTGCTCATGTCATTGACGTTACTACCAGCAGAGTCGGTTCTCTTCAGGAATTGGATGAACCATATTGATTGGTTGAAACAAATGAAATACTTAAACCCAACAGTTATTACTATTCACTTTGAAGTGCATTGTTTATCTTATTTAATCCCCTCCGCAAGTATTTAATTAAGATTAAGACTGTTTCATATAGAATGGGATTATTATTTGTTGTGCTACGAACTTACTAATAATATTGAAATAAAAAACGATTAGTGATTTTCGTGATGCACGACACGACTTTATATATACATCTTCAAAAATAAAGGACGAAATATTTAGGGGATAGATATTGTACAGTTTAGGTTATAATATTTTAATAAAATATTGTTAGCATCTAAAATTGTTCCTGTTGAATTTGGAAGAAATATATCAATACGATCCTTTAAAGAGATAAATGTCCCGTTAGAAAATATACAGTATACACCAAATCTACCTGACCATGGTTTAAGTACTCTCATAATTATGCCTAAACTTAGTAGAAATAACATTAATAGAATGAATACAGTACGTGACAAGACGACCTTTTCTAATTGAATCGAAAGTATTTTTTGTAAGTTTGGACTCAATTCATTGGTTGGGGAGTTGCAGTCATTTACCAAGCTTGCTCCTGCTTCTGTCACATCTGAAAGAGAATTACATCACCATAGATAATATCCTTAACATGTGAAATGTGTGAAATAAAATTCAATTAATTTACCTTAAGCTAATAGAATAAAGTGCTTTAGCTTTCTTCATACTTTTGAATGATTTTGTAATTCTAATAAGAGTGACTTTCTTATAAACTTGAACATTTTAAGTGATGTTGATAAAGTTTGACAACGTAATTCATGCACTTTCACTGAAATACATATCATGAGATATAAGATATTTTCCTGCATTGTTTAATACTTTTTGAGATCTTATTATTTTATTCGTTGGTTGATTCATGTTTAAAAAACCGTTATAACCTTTGCAATAGAAGTCACCATTAATGACAAGCTATCATATCATGACTGCTTATGGAACCTTAGTTATACAAATCACTCTGAAATGCAGCTACTATTTTTGGAAATTTCTATTTTTTCTTGAAGATAAATGATTGATTAACAAAGCAAACTTGTCTATAAAATTCATGAAATACATAATGATGTAAGCAGATTTCCAATTAGAATAAAATAATTACTAAGTCTAACGCGGTTCTATATATAATATTAATGTTTGTGGAAAACAACTAACTGCAGAGTAAAACTTCCCCTCAAACTTCTTATTTTAATGTCAATAAAATATACTTATGGGATTGTTCATGCTGAACATGTAGCTGTGCAGGGATTGATAAACAAAATACTGGTCCTCTCCGTTTGGATGTTTGTTCACTATAATTATTTGTTTCAACACATAAATATTGGTACAAGAGGGGACCAGATATATATGTGCCACACTACAATACAACAAAGTTAGGGAAGAACTATCAGACCAAATAGTATCAATTCATATTTACCAACTAATTTGCGTATATCATTCATTTATTTGAGAAATCTCTAAATCTCCTTTCATCACAAATCATAATAGGCTAATTTATAACAGTAAGCGATATACTTCAAACAATAATTAGTAGCAATCATAGGACAGTAATACTAACTGCAACTATATTTATTTGTGTGTGTGTTCTAGAAGAGGATAAAGGTTTCGTCAGTCAGTTTTATATGTTGCTGGATGATTCAAACACAACAAAATGAAGTCATAGATGAACAGTTTGGAAGAATTTTCAATCTTTATTACACTGAGTATAATTTATTTTCGAATAAAAAGTGGCATCGTCCATAGATATTCAGGCAGTCTTAAATGGATCTTTATAATGTAATTAATAGATTAGTAATAGATTTATTGTTATTTTACTATTTTTAGAATGTGGTAAGTAAAGAATGGTTATTGATTTCTACACAGAAATGGAGGGTCTTCGCATCATGATATTTTAAAATATTTTACGTGGAACGGTTAATATAAACTGGTCAGCGTATATTGAATTTTAAAAGCTTCGCGATAAAACTGCTTTTAATTTCATAAAATAGAATCCACTACTAGATTTTATAGACAAAATTTTATTATTAAAACCTACTTTCACGAAATGAAACATCATTTTGAACATCAATTTGTTCCTCTTCATTTACACATTCATCTTTAAACGATGAGGGTTTGGTATCTGTTGACTGTTGAACTTCTTCAGTCGATTGATTTGTACTACTTTCTTGCATTTGGTCAACATTTAGTATTAATTCTTCTGTTCTTTCAATAGCCTGAATTTCGGAAAAAGTTAGGATATAAAAATGAATTTTATGATTAAGTTAAAGCGAGTTATATATAGGAATACAATACAAAATGATTAGTTGAAATTACGATATTACGGTTCGCACTAACCTGAAGGTCCTGAATTCGATTTTCAGGGGTAAATTCCTGGATGCTCGCTACTGAGGGGTTTTATACCAGGACGAGACAGCTGTCCGTCGCTTTCAAGTTTTCAATGGTGGTTTAGCCTAAATCAGTTCCTGATCCACCATTATTTGAACTCTCTAATCTACGCAAACCCCACTATACAAATCTATATAGGTCACAGCAAACAAAGAAAGATGTATATAAGTTTTAACAAAATACAGAGGACCGTTAATTTTTTTCCCAAGTGGGTTCTTTGTCTGCCTAACAGAAATCTTATATCTGAAAATGCATGACATTGCAATTCATTATCATGACAAACAAATAAATAAACGGTTTTTTCTTTTTAAAAAGTGTCCATATATGAATGTTTGCAGAATATAGTGTTTAACTTCCATCGGTTAAATACATTTTCTTGTGATATAACTCAAGTATTTGCTCAAATTCTTAGCGTCATCACTCTTCCAGATTATAGCTTGTCATCAAGACCTTAATTTACGGCTTCACAATTTTGAGTGTGAAATGAACTACAGATAAGTTTCAGGATATGACAGAGGACTTTAATACAAGTGTTTACCATCTTAACGCTGATCTATTATATAAAAATGTCTTCAAGATAGTTAATCCCAAAAACCCTATTTAAAACTGTTTGATTTTGTCGATAAACATCCAGTAATTACAAAAACAAAATAGTGATTTTAAATTAACGACAGATTGACTTACTAGCTGAACCTGTTTCTCCCAGTTAATGTGCTGACATATAACAAGATAAATAACACCTTCAAAAATGGTTCCGATTGTCATACCAGCCCATAAACCTATTGTTAATAAATTAATTCAGTTGAGAAAGGGCCTTGATATTTTAAGAAAATAATTGCTTTTACATCCAATGTCCACATTTGGATAGTCATTATATCAACATCACACTCGGTGTATAACTAATCTACTCCTGACTGGTTGTGTTATTTCTTTACTACTATATAACGTGGACTAGGAGATAAAACATAAATTTTTAGAGTTCGATTAAATAAGTGGTCAAATCAACTAAAGAGTTCAATTTGTTCAAACCTCACAAATCGTACAACTGTATTCACAGACAAATAAATTTCTCATAGTAGAAAGCATGAGTCAATTGAAGCTAGACCACCATGGAAAACCTGGAAACACTGGACGGCCGTTTCGTCCTATTATGGGACTCCTCAGCAGCGCACATCCACGAACCCGCTCTCGCGAGCGAGACTCGAACCCAGGACCTACCAGTCTCAAGCCGAAGCCCTTAACCAATAGACCACTGAGTTGGCATCCAGCGGTGTTAATGTCTAACTTCAACTGATCCACGAAGTTGAGCAACCATTCACCAATTGTCTTCAGTGAGTTCCTATCTCACAATAGACGTGGTTTTGAACTCCACTGGTCACTGCTTCTCATAATAAGACGAAACGGCCGTCCAATGTTTCCAGGTTTTCAATGGTGATCTAGCATCAATTTACTCATCCTTTGTACTATGAAAAATACTAGATCTCCACAAAACCCCTTCTGATAAATAAATTTTTGTTACATAAGTTGGCTCGGTCAAAAATTATTTCGTTCCACACAGTGATGGATCCAGTTACTGATATTAAGAGTCATTGGAAGTGAGTACAGTTTAGATAAGTTTACTCCCTAACTATCTGCTTACCGGTTCACTTTAACACAGTGGAGCGGTCAGCTGTTCATGGGTAACACTATGTTAGTTCCAGAAATTAAATTTGACCATGTTTACCCTTTCATTCTGTATTCACTTATGGTGACATTGATGAGACTTAAGTATTCTTTCTTAGAGGATTTTCCAAGAAACTACAGCTAGTTGTTTGTCTTTTACTCATCTAGTGTTGGACGGATAGTCTCTTATTTCGATTGAACTTATTATATTAACTGACCAGTCTGTTGTTTTGTAAACGCAAAGACAGGATTTTAGTAAAATAATATTAAATATTAAATGGCTTGTGTGACTTTATTTGTAAACTAAACTACCAATCTAATTATCTCAATTTACAAACTAAAAAACAAAAAATACAACGAATTACCTTCCAAACCATAAGCACCAGCATAAACAAGGCTAAAGCTGATTGGAGAACCTATTACATATAAACTTATGAAACAAACAATAGCACCGAATAGTTGTAGTCCAGCTCCACGAATGGCACCGCCGCAAACACCCTGTGGGATCAAATAAAGAACGAAAGTTTATCTAACGGTTATGCATAAACTTGAGTTATTCTTAGTTCATTGATTGACTGGATTTATTTTACGTCATTCACAGGCTATACGGTTTTATTTGGTAGACTTGTTTCCCTCTCGATTGATCAGAATTGGTCAATAGTCGAGTACAATTCACCATTTTATAGGACGAATCAATCAAACCATGGATTCACATGATATTTAATTAATATTCAAGAACTCCTTGAAACTATACTCAGAACAGGCTTTCCGTGATAAAACCTGTAAAATTTGATTACTTTAAAAAAATTATTTTCATATTTTATACTTAATATCTTTGATGATACTATGTGAGAGAGATACATGAATGTTTCTTAACTTAGTTGCAAATAGTATATTTACTTTTGGGTAGATAATCTCCTTTTTGTAACTCAAAAAACTTCTGATCTGCAACTTTGACAGTTTTATCAATACAAATTTTACTACAATCTATATTTCAGTTCATATTAAGCTTCATAGTATAGTGAATATATAACTTATATTCCATTAATCGTGGATGCGCACCGTTGAGGAGTCCCACAATAGGACGAAACGGCCATTCAGTGCTTCCAGGTTTTCCATGATGGTCTAGCTTCGATTGACTCAAGAATTCAACTATAAAATTCCATGGATTTATTAAAAATGAATCACAGTCATACATCACCCTATTCATAGGTTGGGATCACATGATTTCTTCATTTTTTTTACCAACCATTTGTGATTAAATTATCACGGAAAAGGCTTCATCGTTAGTTGTCGACAGCTTAAACTAATTAAAAATAGATATACATATATGTATTCACAGAAGTATTTGAGTTAGTAAAAGTCACCTGTTTTTAAAGTTAGTTAAACAATGTATTCTATGTAGGTGGTTGTGATGGTATTTTTAGCTGATGCTTGACAGTAAATAGGACATCTGGACATCATATTGACGTATCACAAAAAATCAATGTTTTTAGTGTTGATCATTCGCGTCGAGATAACAGGTTAACTTATTTTCATGTTATAATGTCAATAAAAGGTGAAACAACATTCAAGCCTGATCCAAGATATTAATACATCCAGGAAACAATGCGATATCACCTAATACAAGTTTTCTTGATTATTACTCAGATTATTATTATTATGACCTTTGTGTTTGTCGCTTTTCTTCATATATGTCAATTGAACTATTATCTGACCCATAAATTATTTTCTTCCTTACCCCTTGATTGGTACGTCACCTCATTTGTTAATTATTGTCGAATCAATTTATAATGCAATCTTTCCTAGCCTCCTGTAGACATATATTTTCCATATAACTATATATACGAATGTACAGCTTAAGTAAATGATTTCGTCGAAAAGAAAATTTTCTTCGCTGAATTCTCTTTTTCTTATTCAATGACATTATGAGTTATTTTAGTCATCTAAAGAGCTGCAAGGATATTGAGATATCTGTTTATTAAAAGACATAAGTTTATGAATTAGTATAATTCGTTTTTTATAGCTAGCTTATGGTATGTAGACCTTTAGTGACAGTAAAAAATGGAAATTGAACATTACTTTGCTTTTGTGTGTGTGTGTAAGGTTAGTGAGTGACTAAAGTAAATCGAGATCTATTGATAAATTGTTTTTCATTTCTTAGTTGATGGAGATCCTAATTTATGCAATTTTAATCACTATCCCCTGATTAATCCTTAATAATCTTGTTGTATATATTCAGTGTTTTTCATCTACACTTTTCGCGGTATCACTGTTTAAATTTATGCAGTGACATAGGTTGTCAGTGAAATTATTCAACATTATCTTAGTAAAGTTGACTATGAAGTGGATAAAACTTTCCTAACATTCTTTACATTCTTTTACAGTACATATTCTAACTGAAAATTAACACTTTTGAAGCGGATTCCCAAGAGCACTGTAAATTCCATGTGATACAGGTCATCGATTATTGAAAAATGTAAATTAAGCAATTGTAGAAACTATTCTTTATATAATATGAATGTGGATATTTAATAATGTCAAACTAGTTTGTAATAAACAAAAGAAATAAAGAAAATTAAATACTATATATGAGAATTTCATTAAAATCTTACCACAGTTCCATCAAATATTTGAAATGTAGCAATCAATGGTAACAGTTTAGCAGATAGTTCGATGACATCTCTTTATTAAGATAAAAATAGATTAGATAATTACAAATGAATTTTTAAAATAGAGAATCAATGTAAAGTTTTAATTATCAGAAGGGGTTTTGTGGAGATTTAGTATTTTCATAGTTGCAAGCCTGAGTCAATTGAAGCTAGACAACCAAGGAAAACCTGGAAGCACTGGACGGTTGTTTCGTCCTATTGGATTGGTTGGAGTTAGACATAAACACCATCGGATGCCGGCTCAGTGGTCTATCGGTTAAGTGCTCTGGCGCGAGACTGATAGGTCCTGGGTTCGAATCTCACGAGGCGAGGTCGTGGATGAGCACTGCTGAGGAGTCCCACAGTAGGGCGAAACGGCCGTCCAGTGCTTTCAGGTTTTCCTTGGTGGTCTAGCTTCAATTGACTTACGCCTGCAACTATGTAAAGTTTTAAGACAATATTTCATTTTAAAAGTCTCGACTTTATCTAAATCAAATAGCATAGTACTTTGATGTTATCTGATATTCATTTGAATTCCTGTGGTAATTCAACAATAACAAATATTTATATTCGTAGTCTACATATTAAATGCTATATAAAGAGGAGAGTAAAGAAATAAGATCGTTGAATTCTCATTTTTGTATTGTTTTATTTCAGCATCTATGTTCTGTTTCAGCTAAATCTAAGATATTATTTGAATCGTTAAATCGCCATTAAAGAAATGTAGGGTACTTAGTTTCAAATAGCTATTGTTTGTGTTTTTTATTAACCATATTTATCACAATGTTAGAACAAAGATTGTGTTTGAGGTCCAATATTTAGGGGATAATTTAATTTATCGACTTAGAAATACTGTGTAAACAAAGTTTCAAATAAAAAAGACTGGAATTTCTGTCAATTCAGTTCAGAAAAGCAGTTTTTTATTCGGTATTTTGCGCTAAGATAAATAGCTGTACTATAGTATCTTCATGTGAAAGTTAGGAATCCATTGATTATTACTTTGTTATGTCCCTATGAGAATAATGAATGGTAACTGTTGAAATCTATTTCTGGACTAATACTATACATATATTTTTATTGTGTAATCGTTAAGTAACTGAACTATTCGTATTCATGTCCCTCTCGCTACAAGCTTTATTTTGACTAATAGACTATGATTATACGATTATGAGTTATGCTCACTCTATCAATTACTGTCTCCCACATTCACAGCCAATTTTGGCTAAATGTTGGACAAATGTTATTTTCTAGTTTATGGTATGATGTGGTCTGTTTGGTTTGTATATAAACCCAGTTTGTTTGAAATATATGATTCATATGGCAGAGATTGAGATTGGTGTTCTGGACTCAACGGGCAGGGCTGAGCAGTAAGAAGGACCGATAAGGACTCTAGACTGCTGTTTCGGGTTTATGCGTCATTGGTCCGGTCGATAAGCTACTGTTCTCAAATTGGCAGTATCATTACGTTACGTACTATGTAGCAGCACTTCCTAATTTTCGTGAATTCTTTTACAATAAACCCGATTTTTTGAAAAACTGCTTCAGTATTATTTTTATCTAGTGATAAGCTTTAGTGTACAAACGTTTGTCGAAAACCATAGTTGTATTAACAGTAATCAGAAGTAACTAGGACTAGATTGGTATGCCAATGATGTAAACAGTAATAAAGCAGTGAATTTGACTGGTGAGTATTTGAACATAGGGTTCGAGCGACTGAGAAAACAATAATTCATCCCTCGATAGCATCAATTATGACTTAATTACTAATCATTGGTGCCTCTTTAATTCAAGTTGTCAACCGTTTAATAGACTAATTATTTCTTGAAACTGTGTTTGCATATCTCAAATTGGGCTTTTTCATTTTCAGAACAGGTGATTTTTAAATTAAATTTTCTCTTAAGCCAGAAATTAAATATCTGTTTTAAATTGTTGTCATACCTGTTTTGAACCATATCTCAATTTAAAGCATATTTTTAAGTTCTACTATATTGTTATAGAAATGAGCAACCTACAAAAGTCTTTTAAGAGAAAAGATCAACTTACTGTTCAGAAGTGAAAATCATTGGAATTTTCCATCTTAATAAACACAAAGTTAGAATAAAGACAATAGAAGCTGTCCCTGAACAAATAATAGAAGGAAATATTTATTATTCACATAGATATATTTTTCAAGTTAATTACTGATTGAAAAAATAACTAAGAAATTTTACAGGTATTAACTCAGTTTGAAGGTAGATAATATTTAGACAAAACAAATTATGGGGAATTTATTTTACACTTAATCTTTAAATACATAGAGAATATAGATTCAGTAGTAGTTTAAGGTATTATTGGTTTGTAATTTACACTTACTTAAATCTTAATGAAATCTCAAATAGTCTCACTAGGCTAGAATTCGATCATTTCATTCATCGTATGGTATTCATCTTAAAAATGAATGTGTATGAAATCATATTTTTTATTAAAGAAATGGGCTAACACTACTTTTATCGTTCTTCGGTGTAATTTCAACTTCAGTTTTCATTATCTTATAGCCATCAACTATTCATATCATTAAATTTATTACTGAAAACACAAGTCTAATGTGTACGTGGTGAAATAAATTTGAATATTTCCCTATAAATGAACTTCTCAAGGTGAGCACATTAAACATAACCAATTTTCTATTATTCTAATATTGTGACAATACAATGTCAGCAGAATTTAGATTACAATAACTCGATTCAATTTAACACTTGAACAAATATAATTAAACTATCAAAAGGGGGTTTTGTGATTTTAGTAATTTTATATAATTGAAATCATGAGTCAGTTGAAGCTAGACCACCATGGAAAACCTGGAAGAACGGGATGGCCGTTTCGTCCTATTGTGGGACTCCTCAGCAGTGCGCATCAACGATCCCGCCTCACGAGGTTCGAACCCAGGACCTATCAGTCTCCAGGTTTTCCATGGTGGTCTAGCTTCAATTGACTCAGGATTCCAACTATATATAATTAAACTACATAATTCGATTGATAAAATTCTTTTAGTTTACTGCTATTTATTGTTAAAAACTATTTTTTGTAAAAAGTACAAATTTAGTTAATTTATTGATTTTAAAATAAAGAAACAAACGCATTGAATCATTAAAAACAGTAAAAGTAGTTTAGCTAAGTCAACTTCATTCATTCTCTATTTATGTGAACTATACTAACATGCACAAAGAATATGATCGGTGATGGATTAAAAAAATTCCGACGAACACCTGTTTGAAATGGTCTCTCCCCAAAGCTAATTTATAGTAACCTAAAACCAAAATAACCGGCTGAAAGTGTATCGCCGGAAATACAGAAGAAAATTTAATTCACTTACACTGAATACGAATAAGGCTGCAGAAATTTCAAATAACAACATGCAAATGTCTTTTTGGAAAGATCTAATCAGAAGAATTAAGAAATGCTTTCCTTATTAGGTACATTACTTGGGAAAGTACTAGGGATACGGTACAAACTTGAGATGCCTTATTTTAGATGTATCAGTCTACTTGCTTCTTAGGAGCAGGTTACATTGACCACTTTCTAGGTACATACCTGAGTACTACCTCTTCATCGCTATGCAAATGCAAATGCAGGTTGAACCATAGCTCAATCCCCGGACACATGGCCAACTCTAGTCATAAAATGCAATAGGAATCCAAATTCGAAGTTATTTATAGAATCTGAAGAGCTGATTCAGAGAATGTTTGGATCACAAATTCCTTCACAGCTGACACTACAACAATTCACCAGTTCATGCCTGACCATCGCGTACTAAATGCAATATGTCGAATTCCCTATTTTACCATGGTATATACACTCGTCTTAATCGTATGAGTTGTTATTGACAGTTATTCGTCTATTTTTTATCTCGTTTATTTTCGGCAAGTAAACGATCGACCTTTACATTTACTTTACAAATTGTTACTTTTTAACCTTAGGACTACTACACAGACTTGCAAACTTTGGAAAACTTTGTTAAACGTAGCAACATATTTGTATTTTAATCTCGATTAATATTTGTAAAACTAACTATGAGATAATAGTAAGGAAACTGGTTATCCAATTAAATTAATCCATCACTCAGAGTTACCAGAAAGGTGATTCAAACCTGGAGAGAACTTTGGACTTTCAACTTCTTTGTATTGCCAAAATCTTTGAAATTTATGTAAAGAAATCATGAGTATGTACATAGAATATTTTGGCGACCAATTTTACTTGATCTTTCTGACAACATCTAATTTCTAGAGTTCATCTTACAATCTCATGCGATACATGTTTACAATTACCGATTTTTGTCTAGATTCTATGGCGTTCTTGAATAATTATCAAGGACTTGTGAACCGGATTTTCAATTCCTTAGTACGACTGATAGTTTGATATTTTGATTTTTCATCACTGTTTTCTATAAGTTGTCGTTATTATAGACACAGACATTACAGATAATCATTGTAAAAATAGCTTATTTTGTATTTGTACAACTCTGAACCCGAAATCGCAAAGAAATTTCTTAATTGAATCATTATATTGAGTTAATTAGCCCTTAGTGGAATAAGACAAAAAGCAAATGTCATAGCAAGTCTATACCTTCCTTCAAATCCCGTTAGTGAATAACAGGATCTCCTTTGTTTTTTTTAAAAACAATTAAGTGTTATTCATGTACGAACGTCATCTAATCAGTATCAGACATTTAGGACTGGTTACTCTACCCTAATAACGGAGTATGTCTTCTACCACTTCACTTAGTACAGGTTCACAATGTCACTGACTGTTTTTGAGTCTTATCTAAAGTTTCGAAATAACAGTAAAAACAATATAATATGTATGCCAATACTAAAGCAGTTGTATCTCCAGATTTTGTCTATTCTTATTACTTACACAATGTTACAAGAGCTGTGGAAACAACTGATCGTGGTCCCAATGAAGAGCGAGCACCAAGAAATTGACCAACACGTATGCTTGATGCTATACCAAATCCAAGTGGTAACTAAATGAAAGACAAGTATAAGAAATACACGATATTATTACTATATAGAGATAAGTAGTTAATTAAATCTTAGAATAACATAAGACATCGAATGAATCACCTGATTACGTCACAGAATGACGACAACTGGACAACTAATAAAAACCAGGAGGCATTGAACAAGCGCTTTGTCTCATTATGGAAATCCTCAGCAATCCACACCCATTAGTGGACAAGATATCCATGCGGTACTGTTCAGTTTTCAAAGGTTTTCTTCCTACAGTCGGTCCGTAATATTAGAGTTTCTTCAAATCAAGCATTCGTTACGGGTTTTCCAGCATAATAACATTAATCAAGGTAACATGGTGGTTGGAGGTGGTCAACAGGAAACCCTGGACCCGGGTTTCGTGCTACTTGGCACTCGTTAGCAAGGTGTACCTGTAATCTTGAGGGAACTGATGCTCCCTGGCGGATTCGATCCCGTGTCACCCAGCTTCACAATCAGAGACGTTACCACTGAGCTATTCGGGCCGCGACCGACCTCCTGTAGGACTGAGATTTAACCACCATGTTACCTTAATATATATAGTGCACGCATTGTCGAGCCACCTAGACTGGTGGCCATATTGCAACTTGATCGATAGCATTCGATCAGCACTAAGGACTTGACACGCATGAGATTGATCACCACCCAGTGATCAATCAATTGTAATAACATTAACTTTTGCTCATCCATACCTAAACATTGAACATGCAACGACTGAATTTCTTTAAAAGAGTAAAAGGCTATTAAATCTAACCAAAGTGATTCAAAATAAACTACTTGTTGTGCTTCTCATTTTTCAAAACATCATTTTTATAACTTGAGACACGAGATTTTAGTAATTTTATATAGTTGAGATCATGAGTCAATTGAAGCTAGACCACCATGAAAAACCTGGAAGCACTGGTCGGCAATTTCGTCCTATTGTGGGACTCCTCATCAGTGCGCCTCGAATCTCGCGAGGCGGGATCGTGGATGCGCACTGCTCATAATAATTGTACATCTACGTTTTGATGATGACGAAGTAAGACATTTACTGAAACATGTTCTATAAAGGATTAATGACTTGGTGTCAATTTATTACTTTAATCAGACATTAAAATAACGATATAAATTGGATAGAAAGTTTTTTCTCAGTTTGATTTTTATGAATATATAGTAAAAACAATAAAGTATTTATTTAAAACATAGAACACTAATACACTTAAATTATTGACTTATATCAATTATGCATAGACAATAATATATTGATAAATTACAATTCATTCCTACCAGTGTAAAGCACATTGATTCAATATTGAAAAGAATTGTTTGGGTAGCTAATTCTCTTTCACCAAGTGTACCTATTAAATTGGGAGGATATATATTTCAAATTGTCATTAAAATGAAGATAGATTGGTGAATGTAAATTATCCAACCTAGAAATATTCATATTGGTGGTAGAAGAAACATTAAATTTTTTACACAATTCATATTGAATGCAATCAAATTGCATGTAGTTTAGTACTAGTCAAAATATTACACTTTTTTAATAGATAAACAACCAAAACGTGATAACTAGGAGACAATTTAATCAAAGTATATTGAAGGAAACGCAAAGACACAATGTGCTTTTTAAAAACAAAATAACTTGCTGATGCATTGCATCAAACTTGTAAAGCGAAAGATTCTCTCAGTTCGTATTTACATTTCTTGAATTTCGAAGTTATCTTAAATCAGGCTGTAAGGAAACAAACCACTTTTAAAGTTGATCTGCTTGAAGCATTAGATCAAAGTATTTTGGAATTATTTTACCAGTTACATAAAATAAGTAAAATCTTTTATAAGCATCGAAACATACTACTGAAAACCAATAAACTCTGTAAAATCTTTTCTGGAGGCAAATTGTTTTAGTTAATCATGTTATGAATATGAAAATCGCTTTCAATAATGTGAATGTGGGTTTCTGTACATAAACGTTTAACTTGATTAATTCTCAACAGAGTACTCCATCATATCATTTACATTTGATTCAGTTGGTTCGATCTTTCCAAATTCCTTTATTTTGAAATTTGAACGAGTAAAAATCGTTGAAATATGTAACCGCCGAACCATATTTCAATATCAGCATGCATATTATTCATATCGAATTCCTTTATGTGCTTTGACAAAACAGATTTCTAGTAAATTGTTCATCTCTCGTAATTAAATTACTTGGTGACCTGGATCAAGCTGTACAGATGGCGTGTAACATCTTGTTTGAAGCTTGCTAAGACAACTATCAATTTTTAGACAAAAAAGCCCTTAAAACTATACAGTGTATACCAGTAATAGTTACGAAGAACCTATGGTAAAGTTACGTTTATCATCAAGAATAACTAACAGTTTTATTTAAATTTCATCAAATTGTCATGGAGTAGTTTCAGAAAGAATATACTTCCACATATTTACATTTACTTATCCCTGGTTATAATATCAAATTCTAAAAAGATTCCTAATAATTCACCTGAAACTATACTGCCCATTTCAAAAACGATCCATTCCAAGGTAATCATGAGAACACCTGGCATAGCTAATTTGAACCATCTTCCCCAGTCAAGCCATAATTCATTTGTCCAACCTAAAATAAAGTTACAAAAAAAGCTGTGACATTCAAAGCTCTAGAATTTAAAAAATCAGAAAAGGTTGAATAGTAGAATGATACTTGAACATGTTAATTTATAAAAAACCAATATGGATTAATCCAAAAAAATTGAAAAATTAGTATTTAGTTATTCATTATAGAAAATAAATAATTATGTGGCGAGACTATAATCTATAGACGAGCCAGTCAGAAGAGTCTGAGGGATTTCAAGGTCACGGAGCCAATTTCAGTACCTGATGCTCATGTGCGATCCGTTCACAGAGGATTTTAGAGAAGACTTGACAATTAAGTGGCTACAATAAGTGAGATTACTATGAAGTACCTTTATTTGAAATCGCAGTGATCAAATGACTTGTAGAAATTGCGCAAACTTCCAAGATGTCCTTCGATGTAACATATTTTGAAGGAAGGCGTCTGCTAGAATAGGAATTTTTTCCGCTCGATCCAGATTGAGACTAAAGAATATTATAATAATCGCCGTGAACTGTATGATAAGAGCACCAGTAAAATTGGCTGCAATAACCGCAGATGTCACTGAAACTTTGGCTGTTCAGTGGTATGAGTATTGTAAGGACACATCCATAATAAAAATGATAACTTTACACAATCGGAGTACAAAAACAATATTGAAGCTATCTGGTGGAGGCCGAGAGGGTTTTTGTGACCTTATCATGGCTCCAGAAACTGAGTATTATGGAGCCATATGGATGAATTCCTCTACCCTATGCATTCCGATTTTAGAACCTTTGAACCTCTTTCTAACCTTGACAAATTTTTGGATCATATAAAAGAAGTGTATCCACTCAAATTCCTTGGTTCTGTATAATATATTTTTGCCCTATGCTGACTGTTTACTGATTGACATTCAAGATTCGTTCAAAGGCCGTCCATAAATTATAGTCTCGCCAATTATGTTTTAGTAAAACAATAGTTTGAAGGACAACAAGTTTCACATCTGTAAACTAGTACAGAATAAATAGTGTTTAATGATCTTAGTTTACTGGTATTTGTTTTAGCGAAGAAAAATATGTTTGAATTGGAAAATAAGTGAATTCGATTGTGTGATTGATTAAAGATGAAGAGATAGGTGCTCAAAATTTCACTTATTGATCTACTGTCCCATTGAACAAATATAGTGTTATATCCCCTGGTGAATTATGAATCGTAAATCTGAGGTCTATTATCGACCAATGTATTATGCCTATTTCTTATTGTACAGTTGTTACGTAACTAAATTATTCATATTTGTGTTTCTCTTATCATTAGCTTTATTTTGATCTTTGATTTATGATCATACGATTCTTGAGTTATAATCAGTTTATTGATTACTTTGGTTTGTATAAAAACCCAGTATGCTTGTAAATAATGATTCATATTGCCGAGGCTGTTATTTGTGTTCTGGACTCAACTGGCTGGGCTAGACAGATAGGAAGGACCGAATAGCACTCAATACTGCTCGTATCATTGAACGTTTATGTATTAAGAGGGTATACGTTATAACAGTTTCGACGGGGATTTTGGTACGCAAAAGAAAAAAGTATACAGTTTTCGACGGGGATTCTGGAAAAAAATACAGCAACCCAATACTGTTCGTACGATTTCAATCATCATTCGCGTCCGATCAATAAATTCACTCCTCTCTAAATTGGCGTTCATATAAATTACGGGCCCATACGATATAACAACTGACGACAGGGTAAAAAAAAAAATGACTTTAACTTCCGATCAATTTCAGTTGCTAATTCAGAGACAAGAGCAGCGTTTTAAAAAGAGTCAGTTGGATTTCATTGACAAGTTACACGCGACGCTGCTGAATCACCCATGCTTTGGGGGTGCAACGGAAGTTGACGCATTGATTTCTAAATTGCGTACGGAACTGGAAGTCGATTACAGAACAAATGAATATGCAGAGGAAAGCCTCTATGAATCCGCGAAAAACAGTAATTTAGATGCAGCAGTAACAGTCCTACATGATCAGCCCAGTAGTCCGGTGCTGCCTGTTTCAGAAACGTGCCCGGTAGTGGATTCAAACACCACTATCCCTGAATTAGCAGGTCCGAACAGTGATGCTCCCAGCTCTCAGCAACATGATGCCATGTCAAATGCTCATGAAATTGCTGCAGTACCCGCCCACGAAGAAATGGGAAGCAAATCGAGCAGTATATTGAATGCAGAGGCGCCAAATGAAATTATTCATGATACGGAAAATTTTTCTAATGAATCTAATGATCAAAATTATCTAATTGTTCTGCCAGATCCCGATTATTTTACTGATTCATATGTTCCAGTTCAAATCTCTTATAAAAATGGGAGAAAAATATCGGATGCATTAAATGATAATCAAGAATCCAATACAAATTTCATAGATACTGATTATCCTAATGATTCATTATCTACTAATGAGGTTCCGAGTAAATTCAAGGAAAGTGTTTCAAAAGAATCAGACGCCGGCGACCTCAAATCGAATGTCGTCGATCCTCACGATATAATCAGTTCTGGTGGATTTTCTGTTAAATACGACGAATATGTTTTAAATAATGTCACAATAACGGTAACTTGGATACATGAGGATCCAACAATCTTTCGTGGGGGAGGGTGAATTCGAGAAATTTAAAATCCGGATGTCAACTCCGGATTTCTCAAAAAGGGGAGGTGTTATATCCCCTGGTGAATTATGAATCGTAAATCTGAGGTCTATTATCGACCAATGTATTATGCCTATTTCTTATTGTACAGTTGTTACGTAACTAAATTATTCATATTTGTGTTTCTCTTATCATTAGCTTTATTTTGATCTTTGATTTATGATCATACGATTCTTGAGTTATAATCAGTTTATTGATTACTTTGGTTTGTATAAAAACCCAGTATGCTTGTAAATAATGATTCATATTGCCGAGGCTGTTATTTGTGTTCTGGACTCAACTGGCTGGGCTAGACAGATAGGAAGGACCGAATAGCACCCAAGACTGCTCAGGGCATACGTTATAACATATAGAGAACCGAATAACTAGCTAACAAAATATATCTTTTTATGTAACGAAATTTCACATATCTAAAAAAATATTTAACACCATAAATGTGATATTTAACTTTATTAAAAAATCGATGATTGTTGTCATTCACAAAATTATGAGAATAATGCCAGAATATCAGGCTAATTTGTTGCCCAATGTATCAATATTCCACTAAAATAAATATAGACACATTAATTCACTTAGTATTGTTTGTTTGAATCTTCCCATTGATGTTTAAGGACTGCAAATGGTCAGTCTCTAGTTGGCATATGTGCATACTGTTCATATTGCCTCGATATAGCCTTAATTCACAAGCGTGGTAAGCAAAGATGGATAGTGGCTAGCAGTGGAATCACAGGCAAGTGGCTATCAGGAATCAGTAGCTGAGTGGATGACGCGATGGCGTTTGAATCGAAAGGTATTGTGTTCGGGTCCCAGAGTGAACATCAACTCTGAGATGTAGGTACATCCAGCTGACGAATCCCAAATGGGACGAAACGTGTGTCCTGGATTACACTGCTAGCCACTTTCCATCTTTGCTTGCCATAGACACATTATTTCACAATCTTAAATATTTAATAAAAATGAAAAAAAAACAAATTACCTTTCCATGTTAATCCTGATTGTTGCAACATCAGAATGTATGGTAGATAGCAAATACATTGAAATAAATAAGCTGATGATTGAGAAATGGCTGAACCTCTTATGAGAAAATAAATTATTATAGTAGATATATTGATTGCATTTAAAACCACTTTAGAAAATTTACATTAACAATGTTAGCATAAATTATATAAAAAATATGAGGAGTTACTGTAATGTGTTTAAGGGATAACTTAGGAGACTCCATATGATTTACTGAAGAATTTAAAATAGTGTTAGCTTTTACTTAAGTCTGAAAAGCTAAATGTCACTATATTGTAGGGACAGTTTCTTATTTTTTTAAATCATCATAATCAGTTGATCAAAGCTACGATACGTTAATGAAGATCGACGTTCGTCTACCAATATACTGTGAATGTAACTACACCAAAACTACATTGTTAATGCTGCCAATTATTGAATGAACATTGGAAGTTTGGGAAATTATGGCAATAGTTAATTTATAGTTAGTGCAAGCATTCCAGTCCTATAGGAGGTCATCCTAGAGTCAAGTAGCTACATGATAACTTTTTTATTATGATTACGTGATAAAATCATTGTTTGACACTAGGGAATGACCGAACTCATCACAATCATACCAAGCTTCCACCAGGGACAGCATTATAAGTCGTTCATGGATTGGAGCTTGAAGGTGTATTCTAAGTGAAAATCGATCTCAGTCAAGGCTGTTCACTTTCACCCTTCCTCCTTCTTCTGGCTGTTGACTGTAACATCAAGACCTCCACACTTAAGGAAAAGCACGGGATACAGTGGAAACCTTGGATAGAGTTGGAGGATTTAGACTTCGTAGATAAGCAATCCCTACTGTTTTGTACAAAGCAACAAATGCAGGCAAAGGCATCTACTGTAACAACAGCTCTCAAAATACATAAAGAAAAAGGCAAGATCCTGGGATACAACACCAGCCAAGTCGCACATGATAGAAAAGCTGGGGAATAGGTGAAGGCATCATTGATAAAGAAGGAGCATCTGATGCAGATATGAAGGCACAAATTTGGAAATCACGGATAGGGTTCTTACAACTGAAGAACATATGGGACTCAAAACAATTGTCAGTCAACATCAAAATCAAAATTTATAATATAAACGTCAAGACAGTTCCATTGTGCTAAGTTGAAACTTGGGGCTACAAAAAATATCATCAAAAAGGTAAAGGTATTTATAAGTGGCTAATTACACAGGATACTTTATATCTGTTACTCAAACTCTATCAGAAATACCTCATTGTGGTAGTGAATAAAACAGCTTACAGCTGAGGAGAAAATCAGGAGACTAGTAATATTCTAAAAAAAAGCGAAGAAGAGCATGGAAATAGAATTTTCTGAAATCGCAGATTTATGTCTTAGTTTGTGTAATATTTGAAATAACTAACTAGACAAGTAAAGTCCAGATAAGAAGCAATAAATAAGAAATTTAACTTTAAGTCACGGAAAAATGTGACTTGACAAATTTATGAAGAGCAGGTCACAAAAACAAGGGAACATTGATAACTTTCTTCTGAATGGAAAAATTTACTTTGGATATTATTGCAGCAACATCTTCAGAAGGGTTTGATAAGCTCCAAGCCCTTTTTTTCTGACTCATTTCCGAGACCTTTGAGACACTAAGGCCACATCCACTTTCAGACAAATGACGCGCAATTTCCTTAACAAAAACATACTGTCCTTTTAGTTATTTCAACTTTTTTTAATTATCCCATAATGATTGTCTCATATCAATCTACATATACATGGAAAACCCAAATTTAGATAAAACATTACTGACGGAAAGTATCTATATTTTCAATGTGTAATGCAATTGCTTTTATACTTTAAGAAGTTGGAGAGAATCCACAAAATAAGTGTATGCTATTCTGCTTCTTCTCATTATATCACTGAATTCAACTTACCTAATGAGTCATAGAAAATCAAGGACTACTGTAAAATTCTTTAGTCAGTACTTGAAATTTATCATCCCAATGCAATTCTACTTGTTCGACAAAGTTTAAACAAGAGAGTTTTAAAAAAAGAATATATGAAGCTTAGGAAATTCTATGAATATTTCCCGTGTAACGTTTTACTACATACTTAAGTAGTTTCGTGGTGTGGGTTACTTATATCCACATAAATAGTATGTAACGATGATCAGGCATAGAATGTATTTCAGTAGAAGAACGATGAGGAAAGAACGAAAACAAAACGCTATCGGTATGAAAATGAATAGACAATGAAAGCTCACACAATAGACTGACATTTGAGAAACGAAAAGTCAAGTTTTAGAGGATGGATTGTTATTTTACAGATTAACTATTTACTATATGGTTCTCAGATTTTAGTCAGATATTCTGTAATTTTAAGCTCAACTACATTTGGTTGTCCCCACTTGTGTTGTTGTTCACTAGTTTATCTAAAACAGATTTGAGCTATGACATCTTTCTTTCATTAATATTACATAATCATACATCAAATTTATAACACAGTTTTCAAGTATTAAAAACTTGAACGTTACAGAACACCGTTATTTAAACATGTATACATACATACGTTGTTATTTTGCAAAACTTTTAAAAAAACATTATAAATAACTTACATTATTCCAATTTTGTAAACAAATAAAAGAATATAATGTAGCGAAGCATTGAAACAATTTGTTAAAATCCCGATTGCCAGTGGAATATATACACGATTCTAAAATTAATAATAAAATATAATTTTAAAGCATGAGTCAATTGAAGCTAGACCACCATGGAAAACCTGGAAACACTGGACGGCCGTTTCGTCCTATTATGGGACTCCTCAGCAGTGCGCATCCACGAACCCGCTCTCGCGAGATTCGAACCCAGGACGTACCAGATACGAGCCGAAGCCCTTAACCGATAGACCACTGAGCTGGCATCCAACGGTGTTAATGTCTAACTTCAACTGATCCACGAAGTTGAGCAACCATTCACCAATTGTCTTCAGTGAGTTCCTATCTCAGTTGAAGTTAGACATTAACACCGTTGGATGCCAGCTCAGTGGTCTATCGGTTAAGGGCTTCGGCTCGTAACTGGTATGTCCTGGGTTCGAATCTCGCGCGAGCGGGTTCGTGGATGCGCACTGCTGAGGAGTCCCATAATAGGACGAAACGGCCGTCCAGTGTTTCCAGGTTTTCCATGGTGGTCTAGCTTCAATTGACTCATGCTTTAAAACTATGAAAAATACTAAATCTCCACAAAACCCCCTCTGATAATTAATATAATCATATGCTCACCAGTGACTTCGAGAAGTATAACTAGGAGCTCTAGTGAGAAGCAGTGACCAGTGGAGTTCAAAACCACGTCTGTTGTGAGATAGGAACTCACTGAAGACAATTGGTGAATGGTTGCTCAACTTCGTGGATCAGTTGAAGTTAGACATTAACACCGTTGGATGCCAGCTCAGTGGTCTATCGGTTAAGGGCTTCGGCTCGTAACTGGTATGTCCTGGGTTCGAATCTCGCGCGAGCGGGTTCGTGGATGCGCACTGCTGAGGAGTCCCATAATAGGACGAAACGGCCGTCCAGTGTTTCCAGGTTTTCCATGGTGGTCTAGCTTCAATTGACTCATGCTTTAAAACTATGAAAAATACTAAATCTCCACAAAACCCCCTCTGATAATAAAATATAAATCTGAATTTAAACTAAGATAGATATGTAGGAACTTTCGTTTAAATGAGAGCGAATAGTTTCACAGTATTTGAGCGCCGAGTTGATGTAAGACATTAAATAGAACTAATATATTTGTAAAATCTCAGTGAATGAATTTGAAGTAAATCTAACGTTTCGCCTAGCAATCTGGTTCAAGGAAATATTTCCTTCAAATTCATTCGCTGAGATTCTACAAATATATTATTCCTATTTAAGATAGATATGATTTTTTTAATAAATATAACTGATTTCTAGTTTCTGTAACATAATTACCATGGAAGTCTACTGTTTGTGATGAGTTTTGGACTGTTTCAGCGTGAATAAGCTACAAATTATGCTGAATTATCATTACGTCAATTACCAGACTATGGATTTTTTGTACTAAAAAAGTGAAGAAATTCACCGATAACTATCGGCTTTTTTATATTAATAGTTATAAATAGGATTCAGTCAGTAAGTCAGATGAAACCAAATTTTTAACTATTTGAAATCTTATGTTTTTTCGCCTTTATCTATGATTCACCGCATGTTTACCCTTGTAAGACACACCATATATTAAATTCACTTGGTATTGTTTGGTTGAATCTTCTCATTGACATTTAGGACTGCAATTAATCAGTCTCGTATTGGCCACATGTGCATACTGTGCGTATTGCTTCGATATAGATTTAATTCACAAGCGTGGTAAGCAAAGATGGATAGTGGCTAGCAGTGGAATCCAGGGTGTGTGTTTCGTCCTATTCGGGCCAATAAGAGATTGATCAATTGCAGTCTTAAACGTCAATGGAGAGATTCAAACGAACAATACTAAGTTAATTTAAACTTCACACTATTGCACAAGCAAGTAGCTATCAGGACTCAGTAGCTGAGTGGATAACGCGATGGCGTTTGAAGCTAATGGTACTGGGTTCTAGTCCATGAGTGATGCAGCTACATCCAACTGATGAGTCTCAAACAGGACGAAACACGCGTCCTGGATTGCACTGATAGCCACTATCCATCTTTACATAAATATTACTTTATTCACAAATCTTTGTATTTTTATTATTATTATTATTATTATTATTATTATTATTATTAATCCCCCCTATGCATGGTTCATTCACATCGCATTGATCCCTCCTTATTACGTCTCACTAATTTTTCACACATTTAGTCTTCCACTTGATCGAATTGTAATTGCACTATCATATCTCTCTCACCCTATCTGACCCATATTTATATTCTGCTCACAGATCTTAAATTTTCACTTATCATATATACAGATTCAAGTTAACATTCTATATGAGTCAATATCAACATTAACAATTTTATTCTATTTGATTTGACATTCCTGAATTTACATGCATTAAACGATGTACTTTGCCTTTAACCTGGCCATTTTTCGGATTACTAATTTGGATATATAATTGTAGAACCTGAAGAGAATTTATTGAAAAGAATATTCTTCGTTCAAATATTAGTCTTTTAATATGATTGGGATTTTTAAACAATTAAAATGTTGTGAACAACCCATTGCTTTGAAGGTGCTCAATGAGTTCCTGAAGTATAACGTAAAGTTCACTGAAAGGAAAACTACAATTGATTTTATCAACAAGTGCATCGAGTCAGGTCACTATCCGAAATTATACTATACATCACTGCGACGCAATGGTGTCTACCCAAATCGGAAAACTCTGAAACGTCACGCCCTAAATCAGATCGACGCCCTGCATTTGGACATAAATGAGATACAGATGAATGTTTTCCGCAGAAAGTATGCAGTGGATGACTTAACGGAGGAATTAAAAATACCTTTCACGGACTATGTTACTAATGTTATGGATCATAGATCAGGGAAGAAACTCATTCAACTTTTGAAAGGTCTGGAACATCACACAGCTGAAAGCAAATTTCCAGCTGACTCTAAAAGGTATGTCCATAATTTCTCGGATGTCGAACTGGATAACGATAAACTAGAGGTATTATCCTTAGGTCTAAAGTTTTGTGATACCCGTAATAATTGTAACCACATAGATACCGATATACAGTTTGAGAATCTATACAGCCAGACACGTGGTTTAGTGGCTAATTCTGATCAACAACTGGAGCACTTTAAATATACTCTTGTGGACTGTTGCTACCAGTATAAAAACAATAAATTTAATTACAAAATATTCTTACAAAAAGGCATAAGGAAGCTATTAACGTACTCCTAAAGGATGAGACGTTATTGATTACGAAACCTGACAAAGGTTCAGGAGTGGTTCTTCTCAATAAAAACGATTATATTGATAAAATGGGGACCATCTTAAATGACAAATTAAAATTTCAAAAAATAACTAACCATAAAGATCTCAATATGAAAATAGAGAAGGAGCTTACTAGTTCTTTGAAGAAGCTCAAAGACAACCAGACTATTTCGTCTGGTTTATATGAAATGATTAAACCAGTTGGAACCTATCTGCCAAGACTGTATGGATTACTAAAGGTACACAAACCGGGGATCCCATTAAGACCTATTTTAGATATGTATAACTCACCTTATCATACTATAGCTAAATGGTTGGTAACTTTATTGAAACCTCTCCACGAAAAGCTAGTAAAACATAGTGTTAAGGATGTATTTCAATTTGTTGATAAAGTAAAAAATGTCAATATTTTGGGACTAAAGATGATGTCTTTGGATGTAACATCACTATTCACGAATGTTCCACTTCTAGAGACCGTAGAATATATAGGGGAACAACTGATTGAAAATAAAATTGAAACTACTGTTCCGATTAATGTCTTGAAAGAGTTATTACTGAAATGCACCATGAATGTAAATTTCAAATTCAACGGTGAAATATTTAGACAAACAGATGGTGTGGCAATAGGTTCACCTCTGGGCCCTATACTAGCTGATATATTTCTAGCTAAACTAGAGAACGGTCATCTGAAAAATATTATTCAAGAATTCAAATTTTACTGCAGATATATGGATGACACATTCATCCTGTGTAAAGATAACATTTCACAACAAGATGTGCTTAGGCAGTTTAACGAAGTGCATCCAGCCATCCAGTTTACATCAGAGGAAGAGAGTGATTGCCGATTAGCCTTTTTGGACATCCTATTAACTAAAAGATCAGATAGATCGTTAAGAAGAAACATGAACAGAAAAAGTACTTGGACTGGACAGTATACACACTTCCTTAGCTTTGTACCTCTACAGTACAAACGAAACCTAATAAAAACCCTTAGTTATCGAATAAGCACTATATGTTCGGCGGATGTAGTTGACAATGAGCTAAACACATTGCATAATGCTCTAAGGGAGAACGGGTATCCCAGAAAATTTATAATTAAATATATGATGTTTAAAGTGAAAGTAGGCGAATTCCAAACGGTCAAGAAAAAGTCCTTGTTCATGCGCCTACAATTCAGGGGGGATGCCGCTAGCGAAATACTTGCTCAGAGATTACGCAGATCTATACAAAAATCTTTCAACGCAGGTGAACTACGTTTGGTGTTTTCTACGCGTCCAATGGTGACACCGAGACTTAAAGATGAAGTTCCTAGAATGACCACTTCATTTTGTATATATCAGTTCGACTGCTCCTGTAGAGCAAGTTATATTGGTCGAAGTTCTAGGAATTTACATTTTCGTGCTCGTGAACACCTCCCAGCGTGGCTAAGCAAAGGTCTGATGAGGAAAGCAAACAGCTCGATTTTGGCCCATTTAGTACAAACTGGTCATAGCGCCAGTATAAACCAATCTTTTTCAATTATTTATAGGGTCAGTAACTTTTTGCCTAAGCCTGTCAGGCTTAAAGTCCTTCAAACGGCGGAGGCAGTAGCCATCAGAATAAAGAAACCTGAGCTATGTGTACAGAAGAAATATCTCCAACCCCTACTTCTCCCTTGGCCAACCACAAGGCCAATTAATGAACAATCATCTCAGCTATTGTATGACCTAATTTGACTATGTATGAAGTTGACAGAAATCAGGCATTTAAAGTTATTTACCGTATTCCTACTAGTTTTCCTTATGGGGTTCGATATCGTCTCCTACACATAGCAGAAGCTATATGAATTCGATCCAACAACCCAAGTCTTTGTGTTCATAAGAAATTTGTAACACCCTTATCTCTCCCTTGGTCTTAATAAATAATTTTATTTTCCTTACTCTTTCTTCGTTTATTTTTCTTCACCCCCTACCAATTATTTACTTATTATTTTTCTAATATTCGCCTCACGGTCCAATTATCTGAACACTTCTTATTACGTAATCTTATAATTTCTATGAATGTTATTTCAGTGTCTATATTTTTATAATCATTTACCTATTTTTCCTATTATATAACATTGATTCAAGCCTTTTATTATTCTTATCACAACTAGTACACCTGTCATTACACTATCAATTTGTACTTTTCACTTATTATGTTTAGTTATGTAATCTATTCCACTGTTATCATTGACTCATAAACTGCCTTGATTGATTTAATAATTTCGTATATGCATATAAATATTACTGTATATTAGAGTACAGCCTGATGAGGATCTAATCGAAAACAATAGTATTCGCTTATATATGTCGTTCTAAATCACAGTATGGGAACTTTTCAAATTATTCAGAAATCCCTGAAACAATAATGTATATCAGTGAGAGATAACCGGGTTCAATTTTAATCTGTAATCAACTAATCTAATATTAACTATTCTCTTAATATATAGAATTCGTCCATATTACTCAAGGCTTGTGGTTTTTTTCAAGCGCTTATGAGATAACTCTTGATCTTTTTAAAAGATAAAAGCCTTTAGGTCTTGGTTTTACCCTTACGTTGATAATAATGTCATAAAATATTCCTTTTAATTTTTCTCTGTATTCTTAAACCTGAAGATGTTCCCAGGGTCATTTCATTGAACTATTTTGATACTCTTAGCATTGAGAAAAAATATTCATTACTATCCACTGATCATACTCTTTTTATTTCGTCTATTTATTGTCGGCTGCCTATAACCTGAAATTATTTCAGACTTGTAATTACAAAATGGGTTCAAATTGCTTACCTGAAAAAGTTTAGTTGAATGTTGTTAAACAAAACTCATTTTATAATGATGATTTTTAAATAAAACAGGATGTAAGGAACTGACAAGAATCTGTTCAAATTAGTGTTTATCCTCTTAACGAGTTGGTTAATTGGGCTATATGTATGAGCCCATTCATATGTTACAGCAACTTCGGAAATGATATTCTGCAACTATTCTCAAGATTTTGTAGTTTACATCAAACGCTAACTGTATTAAGACAGTCACTTAAAACCAGAAAACACTGGATATTTTTTCGTTCTAGTAAAGAACATTTCAAGTTTTCCCATCGACTATCCCTCCAGAGCTCCAACTTAGTCCATGCAGACCTGGCATTGACTGCTTAAACTTTATACAATTAGGTTAGAATACATTGATTTACATACCTAGCTTCAGTCAGTCTCTGATGGGCTGCTACTTCGATCTCAGGAAAATTGAACTCTGCTGATTATTGCTTTTCACTAGAACTAAGGAAATCATCTCTTGTAATCAGTCAATAATGATTATATATCTGTTGATTACTTGTAGACTATTTGTTTCATTTTACCCCACTTTTTCATTTCAGTTAAGTAAACCCATCTTAATTAAATGTTGCACCTCGAAGTTGTAGTGGAAATCCTAACTGCAACTAACGTTATTGTCGTTTTATCATGAAAAAATTGAACTTTGATTTGCTTAATTCACTTTGCTAAGTATTTAGAGATGGTAAAATATTTACAAATGGAATGGAAAAGTTTGTAAGTTATCATTTTGCATGGACTATTTAATCAAATCCAATTTTATAAAGTTGAGATCATGGATCAGTTGAAGCTAGACCACCATGGAAAACCTGGAAGCATTGGAGGGCTGTTTCGTCCTGCTGTGAGACTCCACGACCTCGCCTCGCGAGATTCGAACCCAGGACCTATCAGTCTCGCGCCACAGCACTTAATCGATAGACCACTGAGACGGAAGGCATCCAACTGTATTGATGTCTAACTCCAATTTTGTTTATTTTAACTATTGGTTTTCAAACCTTCATACTGTATTCCATGTTCATATTTAACAGAATTTCTATTATTCACTTATAATATTGTTATCATTTAATACAATTAAAAAAATAAAGTTAAACTTACTTGAGTTTGAACGTACTTTGTTAAAATCTGACCTATTGCAGCAAACTTGAAAAAAGAGTTAAAATAGATCTGTTAATTACATATTCATTGTTGGAATAAACCATATATATGTATATCTACATTTGTTTTGCTAAAACTTACATACAATCCTGGTATCATATATAATAAATATTCGGAAGCTTTCCTAAAATATAATTAAAACAAGAAGCAAATGATAGTTACATATATAAACTACTTAATCTAGACAAAATAGTATTATACGTGTAAAGAAAAATGATTGATTTATGAAGATGAATAAAATTACGAGACAAATATTAAGTAGACTGTAATGAATAAATGTGTCTCTTAGTTCTATCCAAAAGTTTTAAATACTGAATCTTATCTCTTTACCGATAGGCAAGATAGACTGTTAGAGGTTATGCATCATTGACTCAACCCCAACGATCAGATAACTTTCTTAACTGTCCTCCATATAAGTTTTAGCAAATAAGTTCGTCCTATCGAAATAGTAATCTTCTTGGTCTTTAGGAATCCTTGATCACTTCTGAACTACAGCTATTTCAAGCTATAGCCCATGCGATCAGAAACGCATACTTAACCATAGTCCAGTCACCTCTAAAACATATAGCATCGATAAAGGTCTTCATGGTATTTTACACTGCATAATTCCTTTTTAAACGTACTACTTGTCTGTGCACGTTCACTTCCAAATAAAGTCTTGGCCTTAGGAACTTTAGCTTTCTTAGTCAAATATTTTTGCGAAATTTTCACTAAAACATGGTGCACTCATGCAGTGTCTGATTCGGAATTAAATATCTGAAACCACCGACTTTATCTCTCTAACAGAGAGTCCCAAACTAAATCTGAAACAACTGTCAAATACTCTTTGATTTTCTTAAGTTCATTGGTTAATATTAATCTGAGATAAAAGATCTCATTTGAAATTTTGATATCCAATGTGATGAATATTCCATGCAACGTTCAGTGTAGATTTTTAGAAATGTTTATTTCAATATACATAACAGTCTAGTCTACTTGTTCGGAAGAGGCATATCCTATCTTTTACCCGACCATGATTCTAAAGATCCTTTCTTATTTTGTAGGTTGCTATTGATCTGTGATGGTTCTTTTCTTCATCTTTCAAATCTGTCTTCTATATGTTAATTCCATTTTCGTCATCTCTTGACTGTAAAATAACTTAAATGAACATTTGATATTTTTGTTAACTCTTGCTATATTTGTTAAAAATGTAACTATTTTCTACTCTATTGTAGACTATTATTCTCTGAAATAATGACATACACTAGGTCATTAAACATCCGAGATTCAATTTTTTTACTCATTATAATGATAAAAATATATTCTTTCATTATTATTTAAATAATCTAACTAATGCTCAACGTATTTCAAATTTGATAGTTGAATTCATGAATCGATTAAAGCTACAACACCAGGAAAAACCTGAAAGCATTGGACGGCCGTTTCATCCTAGTATGGGACTCCTCAGCAGTGCGCATCCACAATTATCAAGTCTAATCTCAGTAGCAATATTTATTAATCAAGTCTTTAGTTGAAAACTGAATTTTTATTATTTCAAGTATGAACACTTTCATGAATTGTTTATCCTCTACTCAAGGTATCATTGTCAAATAGAAAGGAGTAACAAGTGGTAAAATTGTCTATTTATATTGAATTTTATAAAGCTATAATTTTAAATTGAAATAAATATTGTTTGAAAAATATTAGATTTTTTAAAACTTACTTAGCCATTAATGGATTTTGTTTCAATCCCAATAGTATAGGTTCGATGCATAAATACAATGACCAACTAGGCATACACATAATAAACGAGATTACAATAGCTAAATATATCATTAATTGAAAAAAATACAAAAATTACTAATAGAATCATTAAAATAGTTATGATAATTGTATAGATAAATTTCACCAAAGTTTAACATCACCTTGGGAATTATTGACTTAATGGATGACTGATTTTTACACTGGATACGAGATTACAAGGTTTATATACCTCGAACGTTGGTGGGTGCATACTGGTAATTAGTTCTAAACTTGGACAGTGCGCTTGTCCATTCACCCTCGGTTCTTACTCTTCCTAAAACTAATACCAATTTATAATAAAAAATAATCTTGGAAAATCACTTCGTGCGATGGATTTCTGGAAATAATCATTGTTAGCAGTTATCAAGAACCTGTTAAATATCAAATAGAATGTAGGCTATATAGTCGAATGTTAAACAGTAAAAAAAGGTAACATAAAGGAAATGAGTGTGAAATGGAATTTTCTCGACAGATTCATCTTATTGGTTCCAATATACTTATTGTTTTAGCTAAATTTAAATACTTCGCTGATTAACTACTTAGTAACATGGATTATTAATCACTGAATCAGTCATTTATGTATTTTCCGTACTATTATAAGACATATGTTTTACCTTTTGAGGTGAATGATTAAAAATTGACAGACTAGATCCCTAAAATATCCAAATTCCGTATATTTTTACAATTTTTCTTAAGAGTTTATTGCGTTATTTTCATAAAATAATGTATTCAAAATTATGTAACAGCTTTGAATATGCATAAAAAAATCTATTTGATCACAAATTCATAAGTACTAGTCACTACTTTTGGAAGAAACAACAAGTTAAAACTAATATGACATTTGAAATAACAATTTGAAATAACAATTTGAAAATCGATAACAACTAATCTAATGTTATGTAACAAAGATTCATAATGAATGCCTCTGTAACTTACCACGTTGTAAATGAATACCCATTAATCCTTTATTTGAACTGCCAAATATCTAAACATATAAAAATCAATCAACACGAAAATAAATTCACCAAAATATAAAAACATATTGAAAGACATTTGTATTTTATACTTTATAGCTTTATTCTCATAATGATATTAGGCATATACTACGCTTATACGTGTATTATGTTACCAATAGTCAATCTTCCATGTTTTATAACGTATAGGAAATTCATTAAAATTAGTCGAAAGTAGTTTAGGTTATTTTTCTTATTGTTATTATGTAAATTTTATTGTCAATCATAAAACCGTTTCCTGGAGATAGATACAGTTTATTTAATTTAATGATAATCAAATGTTTTACGTTTTTAATTGAGATCATAAACCGATCAATGTTAGACCACCATTAAAAACCTGAAAGCACTGGACGGCCGTTTCTTCCTAGCATGGGAACCCCCAGCAGTGCAAATCGATGGTCCATCACACGCGATTCGGATCCAGGAGCTCCGGTTTCGCTAGCGAACATTTAATCTCCTAACCACTAAGCCGGCACCCAACGGTGATAATGTCTAACTCCAACCAACCCACGAAATTGCGCTAAAGTCTTCCATTGTCTGAGGTAGATACCCTTCTCTACCTGACACGGATTATGTTTCATTTTTAATAGTATTCTTCGTGTAGATATATTTTATATGTGAACTGATGAATTAATTTAGAAATAGTGATCTAAAAACTGTTCATTTTGAAGAATAGCTCAAAAAGAATATAATTTACAGCTGTTCAATAGTACTCATCTACTATCCGGACATTGTTGAAAGCAGGACCTTCTGACTTCTCGGTGATGGACATTGTCACCAAGTTAACAATTTACGCTTCTACTGTGGTTAACAGCTCACAAAATTAGAATATTTTGTTTAATGCGCTACATTTAGAACATATGACCAGTTATAAATTCACTTCATATTGTTTACTTGTATCTTCACATTGTTATTAAGAACTGCAATGAATCAGTGTCTTATTGGCATATGTGCATCCTGTGCGTATGCCTCGATATTGCCTGAAGTCACAGGCATTATAAGCAAAGATAAATATTGGCTAGTATTGGGATCCAGGACGCGCCTTTTGTCCTACTTGGGACGCGTCAGCTGGATGTATCTGCATCCCAGAGTTGATGTCCACCCCGGGACTCGAACCCAATAGATTCGAGTAAAGATTCAAGCAAATAATACCAAGTGAATGAAAACGCCATCCCATTTCACAAGCAAGTAGCCATCAGGACTCAGTAGCTAAGTGGATAATGCGATAGTGTTTGAAGCGAATGGTACTGGGTTGCAGTCCCACAGTGAACATCAATTCCGAGATGCAGCTACATCCAACTGACCAGTCTCAAATACGTCGAAACAAGTGTCCTGCATTCCACTACTAGCCAATACACATCTTTGCTTATGAAACATGATCAGTCACTTTACGGAGTCTTTGAAAAATATATTCAAAATGGCTTATATACTTTACTTCGATCTTATTCTGCAAGTTTTACAAAAATCAGAAATTTTTAAATGATCAACTTGAATACAGAAATTTCTGTATAAGTTCTTCAAGATTTGTTGTTTATCAACATGAAAAATCAAATTATTCTAACGGTGATTTCTACCATATAACAGTATTTTAGTAGATATCTATTGACCATTTAATGTTTTCTGGGCAAATTTTCGAGTTGACATCTTACACCAAAAAGTTTTACTTCTTGTTATTTCGTTCAATTTGGTTATCGTTGTAAGAATGAAGTTTACAAGATTCTTTAAGTTAAATAAAGATATTTATTTATTACCTCAGCTTTCGTATTTTTGACAAACTGTAATAAAGTTTCTGCATATTATCGATCAATTCTTATGGATAGAATTGATACTATTTTGAACACTAAAACTCTGATTTGTTTAAATATTATCTTAGGTAATAAATATTCTTAAACGGAAATATTTCTTATGATCATTTTAACTAAAATATCTAGTAAAAATCGAAAATCCCAAGGTCAATATTCTGTCCACCTTATGATAAGAATTACTACTATATGATCTAGATAGAAGACCTTTTTAATGTAGAGAATGATTATATACATAAAGAATGTTACACTTCCTTGGGTTGTTTTTGTTCCGAGCTTCATTGTCACGTTGTTTTCTTAATGTATACAGATTAAACAAATTCTTAACTACTGAAGAAAATTAGAACTGATTGATGAGAGAATTGATGAAATATATCTGCTAAAACATAAAATTTCAGCAAAGAGTTCACTTTAAGGAGAATTCACTTTCAAAGCTGTACAATTCCAAATGTATACTTATTTTATAAAACAATAATCAATATTATATCTATCAATGATGATAATAATAATAATAATAGATTTGCTAAGTATGGAAACAACAAAGTTAAATGAACAAAAAAACACAAAAATTTTATTCTTATTGAAAAATTGACAATTTGAATATTTATCAGTATGATATATATCTGCAATTGCATATCTCTGGGAATGAATTTACTTAAAATGAATTCCTAACTGAACGAATATTTTTGAAATTTGTGTTTGTATCACAAACAAAAAGTAAACAATTTAAACCATAGAACACAAATTCATCAGTTTACTTTCTGTACAGAATAATTTTAATATATAGAATTCAAAATTTGACTGAAAATATAAACCTTTGCTTACAATGCTTGTGAATTAAGGCTATATCAAGGCAATATGCACAGTATGCACATATGCCAATTAGAGACTGACCAGTTGCAGTCCTAAAAACATCAATGGGAAGATTTAACCAAACAATACCAAGTGAATTTAAAATTCACCACATCGCACAAGCAAGTGGCTATCAGGACTCAGTAGCTGAGTGGATAACGCGATAGCGTTTGAAGTTAATGATACTGGGTTCGAGTCACAGAATGAACATCAACTCTGAGATGTAGGTACATCCAGCTGACGAGTCCCAAATAAAACGAAACGCGCCTCCTGGATTGCACTGATAGCCACTATCCATCTTTGCTTATAAGTTCATAATAGTTACAATAAGAATTAATATCATACATCAATATAACGATTGTCAGGTATAAACTTTAAAAATATAGTAATCTTATTAGTTCAATGTAACCTAAGGTCAGATATAAAAGGTTTATCAGTATATATTCTAATCGATTATGCTAAATTGTTTGTTGGAAAATGTTTTGTAATATTGAACGAGTCAGTATATAAAGCACATAAAATTATTTTCAATTATTTCATATAATTTATGATTGTTCAATGATATTATTAGACTATTTCAATTCTATTTAATTATTATATACTGTAGACTATTTTGTAAACAACTAGGTCACTAGTACGCAAAAATGTTGTCAATTTTGACTGAAAAATTTGGTCTTGACAATCAGTTTTAGCTTTTCTTGTGCTTTGTTGTTGTTGTTGTTGTTGAAAGTATCAATTGATGTAATTATTGTAAAGGTCTTATGTGATTACATTCTTTTAATCGATAAGATGATAAATAAACATACCAATTTGTAATGAATATAAGACTAAACTTACCTGTGAAAATAAAGTGTCAACTGCTGTTAACAGACCAGTAATAACAGCTAAGCCAGCTACATTGAATATGGAATTTGCCAAACCGACAGTAGCAAGTGCAGTTTTTCCAAGTTGGCCACAGAATATAAGACCCATAGGTCCAGATAAAAAAGCCACCAAAGATGTTATGGTCTTCAATAATTAATTAAGAACATCAATATAAACAAAAATAGTTATTTACAGGAATATAACCAACTACAAATACAAACATTTCAATCAATAGTAACTGGTTACCGCAAATTACAGCTTCAAACAGGAAGATTTATGTCAGTTTCAAATAATTTATGAAATATCTTCGTTCTGCATTACCTTGATTTGATTTAGTTTCAAGTTCATCCTATCCAATGAATCAGCTAACGAAAATCATTCACATTTAATGATAATATCAATAATCATACAAGAATAAATATATAAAAATCAGAAGGGGTTTTGTAGAGATTTAGCATTTGCATAGTTGAAAGCGTGAGTCAATTGAAGCTAGACTACCATGGAAAACCTGGAAGCACTGGACGTCCTATTATGGGACTCCTCAGCAGTGCGCATCCAAGATCCCTCTCGAGACTGGTAGGTCCTGCGTTCGAATCTCGCGAGTGCGGGTTCGTGGGTGCGCACTGCTGAGGAGTCCCATAATAGGACGAAACGGCCATCCAGCATTTCCTGGTTTTCCATGGTGTTCTAGCTTCAATTGGCTAACGCTATCAATGATGAAAATTGCTAAATCTCCACAAAAACTCCTTCTGATAGTAATTATTATTATTTCAAATTTTATTTTTTAATTTTGTTATCATTTAATGTCTTACATCAACTCGGCGCCCAAATACGATGAAACTATTCGCTCTAATTTAGACGAAAGTTCTTATATATTTGTTATCATTTGTTTGTAATTTTCCGCCTCTTTCCGTTTATATTCTTCACTATCTAATTATTTACATACTTCTTATTACGTAATGATTTTAATGTTTTGTGATCACTATTCTAAGTCTATTTACCCATGTTTGACCTCCTATTTCCAATGTTTAATTATTGATAAGACTTTTGTTATCGTAATTTAATATTCTTACTACTATCAATATACCTGTCTTCCCACTATCAACTTGTATTTTTACCTATTATGCTTGGTGACGTATTCTATTTCATTGTGATTATTGACTCAAATAGCTTTGATTGATCTAGAATTTTCGTATAAATATTCATGTATATTAGAGTAAAGCCTGATGGCGATCTGATTGAAAACAATTGTTCACTTACATGTGTTGTTCTAATTTTCACAATGGGAATCTTTAAAATTCTAAAATTACATTATGTATAGTATAAACTCTTTCTAGATTCTTCTTACTAGAACATTCGAAAACTATGTAAAACATAATTAATGTCATTATCAATTCTGTTCCATTTTAGGAGAATGTAAACTGCCTGTTAATTAGATTTTGAATGGTAACTACATGTTACAGATTTAAACAACCCATTGAGAAAACAAGATTTATCAGATTTATATGATTCAATAGCAAATGGGACTCCTCAGCAGTGCTGAGGAGTCCCATAATAGGACGAAACGGCCGTCCAGTGTTTCCAGGTTTTCCATGGTGGTCTAGCTTCAATTGACTCATGCTTTCTACTATGAAAAATACTAAATCTCCACAAAAACCCCTTCTGATAAATGCATTTTAAACAATCTGATGGATCATGTGATTTTAAAAACGTTTATCATTAAAAAATAAAAGGTCAGGTAGATAAATTGAAAGATAGGAGCAAACAATGATAATAAAAAAAATTGGGGGTCACAACATGTCAAATAATAAACTAATATTACTAGAATAGTTTTAAAGTAAAACCAAACTGCTTTTGAGAACAAAAAGTGAATAGGTAAATCTTTGATAAATTCTACTGAAAGTCTCTGGAGTCACTTATGGAATACTACATCAGGTGATCGGATATCAATCCCATGGTCGTTTTCAACAAAAGGTTTCTTAGTGAAGGAATATGCTGAAAGAACTGAACGAATTTACGCATTGTTTATATGATCTGATTGTTCAAAATGTATGAAAACTACAGAGTTCTGAAAAAAGTTCATTTTCTCGTCAAATTATCAAAATCTGATACAGTTGTTCGCGATTCTAAATCAAATAATAGTTTCAAGTAGACTAACTGTTTAAATGTTATCGAGTTACTTCATTCATGTTAAGTTTATTGTTTAATGTCAATGTTTAATTTATGTTTCGAATTACTGAACTTTTTAAACGATAACAAAACTGACATTAAGTAATGGTTGATTACAAAATGTTACATATATCTGTTGTTTATATAAATGTCTCTTGCGATATGCGACATTACTCGGCTTAATATAGTTTCATATTATTCTTAACTAAACAGTTTTATCACAAAACTTCATTAATTAGTTTTAAACCAGAAAATGATTAAATGAAAAAAAATGTTTTTCATTTATATAAAACTTTGCTAGTAAAATGTACATTTTATCCAAAATTTGATATTACATTTGAATATGGTATTACAGTAGTCATTACTTGGTATATACATGAAAGTCAGTCATGAATTTTGGGAAAAGTAAAATGTGTGTCGATTTAAGCTTAACTACTCTTTAAATGTATCATTAGTAGTGTTGCGAAATTATATAACAAATTAGATAAGCAGTACTCTAATTACCGTAAAATCGAGTGAATAAAATACAGAGTAGGATAAGAAAAATAACTGAATTATTGTCATGGTAATAATTATAGTATCATGGTGATTAGACGAAATTTTCGGAGTCTGGAATATGGTCAATTCTAATCATTCATTAAATGCAGAAATTAAAATTGGTGCATAAAATATTACTAATAGACCGGATGAGCTCAAAATAACTTCGTTTCTTAAAGTAGTTGACATAAAATAACTCGCGAATGCTTGGAAGAATTGAATATTTTTAAGAATGAAAATGAAGCGTCATAGTGAGAGTTTGAACTATTTTATTTATTAATTGATAACATGTGAAACGATAAACAAATAAAACTGAGCCAAATGTTCTTTATAGATTTCGGAATATATTTTCATTACTAGTATTAAAACAAAGTTAGTGATTTCTAAAAGTCCTAGTTGTTTATGTTCAAAGTTTATTGCATAAAAACATAAGTTTACACAAACTCTTTGGTTTCTTTGCACTTTCCTAAGAGACTGATCAATTATAGTCCTAAACATCTATGCAAAGATTCAAACACCGAATGAATTTATCTACATCTCATTTCACAAGCTGGTGGCTGTCTTGACTCAATAGCTAAATAGATAACGCGATGAATTTTGAAGAGAACTGCATCATCGAGTCTCGAATTGAACATCAACTCTGAGATGCAGGCGCACCCAGCTGTCGAGTTCCGAAGGGGACGAAATGCGCGTCCTGGATTCAAGTGCTAGTCACCATCATCTCAGCTTATAACTGTTCTAAATGTTTATTTAGACATCTTGGTAACATAATCAGATAATCGGTCAATGTTCTTACGTCTGTATATGATTTTATAAATAATGTTTTTAAATTCGTAAGTGTAACATTACAAGTAAACCATTCGTAATTTTGTGTGACTGTAAAGAACATCTTAAGTTTGTTAATCAAATATACCCTCAAATATATTTTTCCAATTCTAGTGGTATTTAGTATAGATACCATAAAATTCAGCATTATACCATTATTGTGGTGAGAAAGTACCAAATAACAGGGTGAAATGCTTGACGAGAATCGTCGCAACTTAATAATCTTTTTTGTCACGCACTGACGATACCTCGTGAATTGATAAGAACCACTGAACAACTGTTCTTTGTCCATTTAATACTTCCCATAAGTGAACACTTATGATTCTGAGAGGAGGCAACATCAGAACGTTTGTATCTTTCAGTGTCTCTCACTAAGACCTCGGGAACTCACCCCAATCACTTAAAGCTTCATTGTCATTACGTAAACGATACTTTCATAGAATCGAAGAAAAAAGATAGAACGGTCAATCTGGTTGATATATTTAACATCAATTAGATTCTCTGTGGATTAGGAATATTTTAAGGTGATTCAAAAATTATGACCATAAATAAAAACAAGGTATTTGAATTTGTCACTTTTATATGCTTAACAATTCAACTGTTCTTGTGGAGCCAGCCAACTGTTTACAAATATTTACTTGGATTATTATAATTATATTAATTCTTCTTCTCATTACTTAGTTAATCATTCATGATCAGCTTTACACATTATTATTTTTATTTCAGACAATTTTTCTTTAAATATTCCCCCTCTCCTTAATTATTTCTCATAGTTTTTACCAATATCCTTTCATAAATACTAGCCCTCCTATCTCATACACTCGAACAAATACAGATGAAGACCGCAAATGTAGCAGCAGCCTATGAATCAATAGGCCACAACATACACAAAGGGAAAAGCAAGATTCTCAACTCAATCACACTTGATGGTGAAACTCTGGAAGAGGTGGAAACTTCCACGTACCTGGGAAGCATCATTCATAAACAAGGAGGATCGGACGAGCGTCAAGACAGCTAGTACTACTGTACGGAGCTGAAACGTGGAGAACTACTACATCCATCGTCAAGAAGGTACAAGTAATTATAAACAGTTGTTTACACAAAATACTCAACATTCACTTGCTGGATACTGTCAGCAACAGCGTTTTATTGGAATGGACAAACCAGCTTCCAGTTGAAGAGTAAATTAGGAAAAGATGTTGGAAGTGTATAGGACATACATTAAGGAAATCACGAAACTGCATGATAAGGCAAGCCCCAACTTGGAATCCGGAAAGGAAGCGGAAAAGAGGAAGGCCAAAGAACACATTACTCTGGGAAATAGAAGCACATATGAAAAGAATGAATGTTAACTGGAAAGAAATGGAAAGGATTTCCCAGGACACGGTTGGATGGAGAATCGTGATGTGCAGTCTATGCTCCTCCACGAGGGGTAGTAGGCGTAAGTAAGTAAGTAAGTAAGTTTCATAAATACCGTGACACTTTTAATTACTGAACTAATGATATAAGCAGCTCAGTGTATTTGAACTCATATTTATCAGAGAAAAAGCATTTCTATCTTATTATTAAACTCTTCTCAGCATCTCTCTACTTTACAGTATTAGAATAACATTGCAATCGAAACCAGTACAGAAGTAAGCACGAAAAACTGTAAACAGCTATAATAAACTATAATGGTAAACTGTAAATGAATTTAGTTAGAAACAAACGTTTTGTTTTACTGTTTCGTATAAACATAACTAAGATGTATACAATATTAATTGTATTAATCATATAATCCATTGAAATTATATTAGATAGATGATGTTAATAAAGATGTTTATTATCATTAATGAAATGAATATTTAACTTACAATTGGTATAGCCAGTTGGACAAGTTTTTTAAATTCATAACAAAAACCGAATGGAAAAAATTTTCCTAATAGACCAGTATTAATAATATTAGGTATTTCAATTCCTTCACAATTAATTGTAATTTCATTATTATTAATATTATCAACTAAAGAATATAAGAGAGAAAAAAAAATTCAAATAGAGTATACAAAATTATTGAAAGAATAAAGTAATTTATAAGAACTTTTGTTTAAATTGGAGTGGATAGTTTCAGAGTATTTGGGCACCAAGTTGATGTAAGATGAATTACATATTCAGTGGTCTAGAGGTTAAGTGCTCACGCGCGAAACTAATATGTCCTGGATTAGAATCTCGTGAGGCGGGATTATGGATGCGCACTGCTGAGGAGTCTCACAATAGGATGAAATGGCCGTCCAGTGCTTCCAGGTTTTCCATGATGGTCTAGTTTCAATTTATTCGTGATCTCAACTATTAAAATTTACTTAGTACGGTTTGTTTGAATCTTCCCATTGATGCTTAGAACTGCAACTGGTCAGTCTCTTATTGGTATACGTGCATACTGTACGCATTGCTTTGATATTGCCTTAAGTCACAAGCATTATAAACAAAGATGGGTGGTGGATAGCAGTGGAATCCAGGACGCGCGTTTCGTCCTATTTGGGACTTGTCAGCTGAATGTACCTGCACCTCAGAGTTGATGTTCACTCTGGGACTCGAACCCAGTACCATTCGCTTCAAACGCTATCGCGTTATCCACTCAGCTACTGAGTCCTGATAACTTTCAGTTATCATTGTAATATGATGAGATATGTTCAGATTGTCAGTATTAAAGAGGAAGAAAAAGCTTGGACTAGATTTCCAGGTGAAACGTTGGATTTGTTTCAAATTGCCTCGCTGAGATTTTATAAATACATTCTTCCTCTTTAATGTTTCACATCAACTAGGTGCCTAAATAATGTGAAACTATTCAATCAAATTGTCAGTATTGTTTTAATTATAGACAATTTATTCATTTTACTCACAGTTTTCTAAACATGTAGCGAAATACTATAACTATGCAATACATTATCCTGCATGCATATTATCTGACGAAATAGTTGAGAAGGTATAATTGGCCAAACTTTTTATAGTTGTAAATTTTTAATTATCAGTGTCATAGTAACATTTTACATCACAAATTTTTCTAACGTTTATAATAAAAAGTGATGATAGGAAATGTTATCCTATTGTAGCCGGTGACTAGGATCCAGGAGCTCATGTGTGCCTTTAATTTGGAATCATGGTAGGTAGACCTTCTATATCCATCAACTTAGTCCTGGCTTTCGAAGTTCACTTTTCGCCCTCTGACCTCTGTAAACAACAATTCCGTAGCGAGATGGCAGTGAGTAGAACTTACCTGACACTATACGTGTAGCTACATGAGAGCATCTAGAGAGAGAGCGAACTCTTTCCATTTTTTACAGTATCAGGGCATTTGCAGGCTAGCTTGTCAATAAACTTCACGTGTTCCAATTTAAAAGTTTGAGTGATTTATGTTGTTTTCGTAAAGGTTTAGAGTATATTCGTACGACTCAAATGGGGATAATAATATCACCCTAATTTTGATTTTAGTAAATGACACTTTTTCTTTTAAAACTGGACATAATCGTACATACACTTTTGTGTATGTGTATCACTAGATGACTAATTTCCCCACAGTATTTCTGTTTAATACATAACATCACCGCTCAAATATTTCTACATTGATTTCTCTATACATTTCTTACTACTGTTACAGTAAAATGAAGGTTTTTTGACTTCCAATTTCGTTTTTTTTGTTGTTAATGGGAGTTGGTCACTTTTTAATTTTCGTTGTTGAACTTGGACCTGTGTCATTCAGTGTTTCAATAACATTGTGGAATAAATACGACGGATGTAATGAGATTAATGTATTCATTTACTGTCATAACAGTTATCGGACAATCCCATGAAGAAGGTTTCGAATAATTCATTTGAGTAGACAGTAAGTGGACATGAAATTAAGCTATTTGAAATCCTTGTTATGATTATTAACTAGGGATTGCAGTTTTGCAAAAAAATTTAACCAAGTATTTAGATTCAAGTCACTAATAGTCGCAGTTTTCATCTCAACAACCTGAAGGAGAAATGGATTCCACTTCCTGTGTTTTAAACTACCAGAACATTTGTCAAAATTTTAAGAAATTTATATATCTTCAAAAAAATCTGGAGTAGAGGTTTAATGTTCTCTAGAAATTGATTAACCGATTACGTAAGTGATATGTCTGTTGCATTAAGATTTCATTGACTTACTTTGTATATTTTTAAAGAAATAAATAACGAAAAGAATTAGCTCTTTTAAGAAATATCAGTTAAGTTTAGCAAGTAATCTCATTTTCCTGAGATTGCACATATCCGGCAAATTGTTACCTAATCTTTCGTATGAATTATGGTAAACGGTAATATGAAGAATGTATCTATTCGTCATATAAGATTGTTATGTTTGTACTATCCAAATTCTTCATGTCTCTATCTTTTTTCTCTCTCCAAATTTACTTCACTGGATTATACTCCTTCAATAACATCTTCAAACCCTAATCTATCCGATTACTGCTTATACTCCTACTACTTCTACCACTATGGGATTTGAATCGACAACTGCATCTCTGTGCGGATTTGGTATGGCAACTCGAACTGATGTACGTACGTACGAAGTTCTACGTTGTAACTGACTGAATGACTGACTATCAAACTAATTAAATTCACATTAAAATTGAGTATAGTAAAAATAAATTAACAATAGAAGTAACTACATATAGTTAAAATTATTCATTGTATATATTACTTACTTGTATTATTCACCGATTCACTACTAGCAGAATTCATAGGTACATAATCAGTAGTCACATTGAAATGCTTTTTTCTATTTCGTTTCTTTCTAATACTTTTAAAATATTTATTCACATTGATAGTGTTACCACCAAGTTTGGCACTAATACCATTTACCCCATTATTTTCATAATAATCTTGATTCAAACAGTCATTTTCTAACAAAACGCATTCTTCTGATTGGGAACCTGAATAGGAAAAAGACATATTGCCTAAATAGAATCAGTTCACGATTGGGTAATGACACTTGTATAAACTTTTTTTATTAGCATGTATACATTTGTGTATGTAGGTATATTTATGTTAGTTTGAAGCAATAACTATATCCTACACTTCACTGACTTTAGTATTTTCTGCAGAGATATTTATTGCTGAAGGATATATGTTGGAAATTTGTTTAAAATTCCTTCTAGTTTTCTTCAATAAAGTTTTCTTTCATATCAACTAGTAAATGTACTTTATTATGTGGAGTTTTTATTCTTTCATAAAATGTAATTAATTAGATTAAGTATAAGTAGGAATATAAGTGTACATGCAACTTAAATAAAGTTGAAATCTAAAACGTCTGTATTTATCTTGTAATCTAATATGATTTGAATCCGTTAACATTATTATAGTCTATAATTTTATTGTGATAAAATGTTGTTGACCTTTTTTTTGGTAAACTAAGTTTGACAATAAGTTACACACGTACAAATATTTAGTAAACATTAAAAATAATAATGAACTTGAGAGAATCTTGAAATGACCATGAGAAATTCTTGGATCTATTAGGCCAATCAGAAAAATAGTTATTATACTATTAGTGGACGTTTCAACAAGATTTATATGTGCTTCCGTCTTGAATTGATAGAATATTCAGTAGAGATCTAGACTAGATCAATAAATCGGGTAAACGTAATCAATTTTTTTTACCGACTTTGTATTCTTGATCAGTCGGATAGTTGAAATATATTGTAAAAGTATTTGTTTACTAATCACTAATTTGATGCTTCAAAACAAAACCACATTAATTCGGTATAGTAAACTGGATATATGCAGTTACGAAAATTGAATCATTCGAAAAGAGTTGAACTCATGGAGTAAATCATCGTTGATAGGTGAATTTAAACTTGCGACTTGCTTAAAGGTCTGGACTACCTGTTCCTGCCATCTACATATTTCAACACGTTATCTAAATTTCTTTGTTTTAATAAATCATTATGGCTATTAGTAGCACAACCTATTCAGGTGCATTTGTGAAAAGTGTACAACCTTTCGCTGTAAAGGCTACAAAAGGCCTAATCAGAGACGTCTTGGTTGCTGGCAATATGCAGCAAAAAGAATGCACATTATTCAAATTTCGATTGACTAGACTGCTTACTTCTAACTGGCGACCACTCAATATTTATCGTCAGGATCGACGAAGAAGTAAGAAACGGAAACTTGTTGAAATACTTTATGCTGAGAATTCTATGTTGTACCAAAAATATAATATTGAATAAAGCTAACAATACTAAATTACTACAGTAAACTATATTTGCATTTATTTCCTATTAACTTTGGTGGTTAAGTAAAAAATTTGCTAAAAACACTACTCTCGTTAATTTCAAGAAATAGTCAACAGCTGAAATAACATTAATGGGATTATGGTTTAAACCGTTGTTTGAATGTTTTTTTCCGTTGTAAGACTTTGGAAATATGCACTAAAATTATTCTGTTTGATATGTAATAGTACTGGATGTTTGGTAAACTATTCCTTTAACTATAGAAAGTATTTACATTTAATAGGTTATTCAGAAAGTTTAACATGGATTTCAAAAAGTGGAATACAGTGTCAATCAGTTAACAATGTGTAATATACTGGTAATGATTATAATATACAAATGACAGGTTTTCCAAACATATTTGAAATATATTTATAACATTTCTCCAGACTATATCTATGATGCTATTTACATCCCTTTGTAGTGTCGATTGTTATGTTAAGCCCATATACCATATTATAGCTTTAGGACAAGCCAATTCACCTATCTATCTTGAGTCATGTTTCAACCTTGTTAATTATTCACTTACTAACCCTGAGTAATTTTACATGAGCATATGTGTGTGTACATTTCTTGTCCTTTTCATCGCATGTCTGTAACTTATTCTTGTCTGACTATAATTATTGATTACGCTTGATTAAAGTGAGTTAGCTTACCCGCCATCTCTTATGCGTGTCATTTTTGTTTTACTCGCTGATATTTACTCATGTTTGTATAACTATCTGGCCTCCGTTATTCAATAATAAACTGTAGCTGCCGCTTCTCTTTGTCTTCTAATTTTATGCACCGTCGAGATTTGTATTATAACGGTTATCGAGTTGAATGATTAACGAAGTACGGCACTACAACTTATACAATAGTATTTATATAAAATGTTTATCACTGCTACTCTAATGGAAAATCGATTTCGGTGAGCTAGAGACATTTCTAAAATCCATGTTGATTTTATAAGGATTAATATAAGCATTTCATATTTCAGATGTGTAAGACTCAAAGTTTGTTTCATTACAAACAGTAATTGGCTGAAAAATAATTTGAAATGATGAATTAGTTATCAACAATAACATGAGATGATAGGTATGAAACATCAAGAGTGAACCTTAAGACGGTTATTCTGGCTGATGTGTATCAAATAAGAAGAAATTTGTATAACTGAGTCCACTTTAAGCCCTGTTTTATATTCAACACCGAATTATTCACTTATGATTTACATATTTTAACAAAAATCAAACAAATTCTGTCTTAATATATCGGTTAGAGTAAAACAATTAATCCCTACAAATTATACAATTCGCTTGCCTGTTATGATCTCATTATTTGCTAATGTGTTATATTTAACCTGCCAAACTCTCAAATTAATTGAGCTATGACGACGTTAAACATTCATTAAAGCGAAAACCACATTCTTACTATCAGAATCATTAGCTTTATGTAATATAGTTGATTAGTTTCTGCTTTTTTTTTCTTTTAGATATATCTTTATACAAAATTATATAAAATACGTTTATTTATACCCATTCCACTAATCCCTACTAATCTTTCAAGTCTACTGTATTGTTTAATTAGATTGGAATAAGATGAAGTAGTGACAGTGACTTTTTAAATGTACAGTATATTATACAGTATTCCCATAATAACTGAATCACTGTTGTTGTTTTTAAAACTTTAACAGAAAGTAATACGTAATATAGTTTGAAATAAATTGAACGTGAATAATCAATTTTATTTTAATGAATTATATAATTCCTTGCTAAAGTGGTTTGCTGTTGAATCTGCTTACTTTAGCGAATGTCAATGGTTTATGACAATCAAACTTCAGATGTTTCAAAATTGAAAGGCTCTATAATAAAACTCTTGGTGATTGTATAAAATTCACAGGAGAATAAAGCTATACAGTTATTCCAATGCTAATTCAATGCTAAACATTTGATTATACGTATATCATTATATTAGTATCGGAAAGAAATTTTATACTTGATTTCATGTTGGTCAAAACATTACAATAGCTACTTACTAGAAGTAATATATTTATTGATTTAACGCCATTTATGCGACTATTTATTCAGTTGTGTACTTCAACGTATATTAATTCATATATAATACAGTTTTAGTCTTTATCTTGACAACCATAACTTATCTAAGACATGATTGACATTATTTGAATGTAGTTTTAATTATTTTAACATACCTCCAAATAATAATAATAATAACATATTTCTAACAGCTTAAGAAAAGTGAATTAAAATAGTTTCCTGAATATTCTAGTGTTTCATTCTGTACTTTCATAGTTGAAAGCATGAACCAATCGAAGCTAGACCACCATGAAAAACCTGGAAGCACTGGACGGCCGTTTCGTCCTACTGTGGGACTTATCAACAGTGCACATCCACATCCTCGCCGTCCAGTGCTTCCAGGTTTTTTTGGTGGTATAACTTCAATTGACTTATGCTTTCAACTATGAAAATACTAAATCTCCAAAAAACCCCTTCTGATTATTCTGTATTGTTCTTTTTGGTTACCAAAAATTAACGCTCATGATTATTTTAAATTTCTATCAACTGGTACTTACATATTAAAACAATAATTTCCATATTGAATAGTCTCAATAAATTTACATAACTTAATTCCTTGTATAATGCTAAAATCTGTGTATATGCGACAAGATTTCATTAGTTTCAATTGATTATACAAATTTGGTCTTGAATTGATACCATGCGATTTAATGGTTGAATTAATGAGTCAATTTAAGCTAGAGCACCATTGAAAACCTGGAAGCACTGAATAGCCGATTCGTCGTAGTGTAAGACTCTTCATCAGTGCGCATTCACGATCACACACACAGGATTCGAACCCAGGACCTTCGGTGTCACGCCCGAAAGCTTAATCTTTTGACCACTGAGCCGGCGAACAACGATATTAATGTCTAACTTCAACTGACCTACAGTAATTATCATGTACTTACTAGTGACTGATTTTAAGATATGTTTCTCTGAGTTCTAGTGATTAGAAGTGACTAGTGAAGTTAAAACGTATTATGTGTGAGGCAGTGAATCACTGAAGACAATGGTGAAGGGTCGAGCAATATCATGAGTTGGTTGAAGTTAGACATTATTACCTTTGGATACCGGCTCAGTAATGTATACATTAGGCGTTCGCGTAAGAGACCGAAGGTCTTGAGTTCACATCTTACATGCTGGATCGTGGATGTGCACTGCTGAGGAGTCCCATACTAGGGCAAACCAGCCATCTACTGCTTTCAGGTTTTCAATGTTGGTCTAGCTTAAATCGACTCATGAATCAACCATTAAATTACTAAAATTTTCATAAACTCTCATTCTGATAATGCAATTACTTTACATCATTTATTTTTAAAATGACAACAAAATAACTATTATATATGGTTCAAAAGAACATTGATATCAATTTTCAATGGTATTGTAATTTTTTTTCATTTTTCAATTACCATTACCTGTGTTATTGGTAATAGTTAAAATTTCAAAATATGAATTTTGTTAAAGAAAATTATATAAAGTAAATATTCAATAACAACATTGAACTTTTCTTTTATATTCTTAAATATTTAAAATTAAAAAGTTATAAATATTTTTGAATAATGAATTAACATCAATTTAATAGTAAAATAAACGTGTAATTCAACAGGTGAAATAAAAAAAACCATAGCAACTAATTAAGTTAAGATTAGCACATTATATAAAAAACTTGAATATTGAAGTTATTCATTATTATTATTATTATTATTATTATTATTATTATGATTATTAAACAAGAAACAATTAACAACTACGTTGACATTTTCGTATATCATTTTGACAATTTGATTTACATTTGAATTCTTGAAAATTTCGATAACATTTCTGTTTACAATTATCTCCAATTTTCCAACAATCATTTATGCAATTAACTTTTGGTGGCATTACATCACTTAGAATTGACTTGGAAGTAAGCATAATTATGATAAGCACAGGAATAATCTATGAATATAAAAGAGTTTCATTAAGATATATGACAATATTAGAAATAAATATACTTCAATTAACATAACCAAGAAGAACATTATGTAGATAAATTGATTATGAAGTTGTTCTCATTTCTCTTATAAAACAGTTTGATGATAACAATTATACATTCATGTGTATTATCGTAAAATATTCTGTCAACCCTAATTTCCTTATGCTTTCCTCAAATTTAATTTAGTTTACAGAAAATATCAGAGTAATTTCCAATTTGTTAAGGAGCGAGGCAAGATCGTGAATGCGCACTACTAAGGAGTCCCACAATAGAACGAAACGGCCATCCAGTGCTTCCAGGTTTTCCATGGTGATCTAGCTTCAATTGAATCATGATTTCAACGATATAAAATAAGTAAAATCTACACATAATCCCCTTCTGAGCATTTTAATTCTTATTCTGTTAGTTAGTGTATGCTAGTCGCGAATAAGACCTAAACGTAGATTTCGGGTTCATTAGCACTTGTCAGCAGTATCTCTGCAGCCTTGAGGCAATCGGTGCTTACATTGTTCATTGTCGTAGTCAGATACAATCAAAAAAGTTCTTAAGCCTTGATTGACCATTGAGTATCAGTTAATGTCATACTATTATTTTCCATGATGCGACAGAATTCTGTGTTTCTTTAGCATTCTAAATATTCAGCTAAGATAGGAAAACTGAATATTTTATCATTTTCGTAATTTGATAGCATTATTAAAGTAAAGATATATAAATGTTCTTAACAAGTATATGTGTGATCAGATTGTTCGAAATGTATTGCGCTAATATATCACATAGTTCTGATAATCTTCGTCTTCTCATTGCATTATCGAAAAGTAAAGATCCCCTATGAATTTAAGGATATTATCGTCTATTCCGAGGCTTCGTTATGTGGTATTTGTCCTTCAAAAACGTTTGGTTTGAACCCATTTAATAAACCTTTTCTATAACGAAGATAGAAGAACGAAATAGTTTTCAGGATAATGTGACATCTGAGTATAAAACTTATTTGCGAATGTTGTTATCACAGCAAAATCTGTTAAACATGTCAACTTTACGCTTCATAAGATTTAAGATTCATGATTACTGGTTATGAATTGTAAATGAAGTTATAATTACTGCTCTTTGTTTAATCCAACAAGAGAATCAGTATAGTTGGTAAAATATCAACGATGAGACTCTTAACTAGGAAACCTTCTTGTGAAACATCTTTATATTTTCTTCTTTTTCATCAAATGTTTCAGAAATATATAACTATATATTCACTCATATAGTCATCTTTTCTTTCTTTCTTGTTAAATATATAAGTAATCTATTATTACGGTGTAGATGCATTGCAGTTCACAGCTAACAGATTGTTCTTTTGGTTTGATTGAAATAAAGTTATTAATTCTAAAGTTTAATAGAAAGATTAAATACAAGATACATTGTAATATAACCGATTGCTGCAACACATTTGCACTGTTAAGATCCCGAGTTCATCTAAGCTAGACCAGCACCGAAAGTCTGGAAGCACTGTTTCGTCCCACTATGGGACTCCGTAGTGTACACACACGATTCAGAGGGCGAGACTCGAACTCAAGATCTTCGGTCTCATGTGAGAACGCTTAACATTTAGACCACTTAGCCGATATCCAAAGTTGTTAATATCTAGCTTCAATCAATCCATGATCTTTTGCAACCGTTCATCTATTTTCTGAGGTGTATCACTGTCTCACGCCAGAAACATATTGTACTTCCCTGGTCACGGCATCTCACTAGAACTCCAGGAGTCAATAGTAAACACGTGACCATTATCAGTGTGGTGATTTCCGGAGATTTTAGCATTTTCACAGTTGTAATAAACAGTGCAATAAATTTGTCAATAATTGCACATATTCCTTATAGTTTAATCTAATCAAAGAGAGTAAACTTTCAAACCTTTTATTAAAAGTGCTTCAAGAAAGGTATATGAATGCTGTTAGTCATATATAAATAAACTGATTGTTTTTGAAAACATGTAGAAAAGATTTTTAAACAATGGATCCTTAAAACTGAAATAATAATCTTCCAGATCAACGTAATATGACTGTCTTTTGATTACACAGATATGTTTTTGGAAGAATCATCATACAGTAGTTACTGTATCACACAAATTAAATTAAAATTTAAAACCAGATAGAATCTTTAAAGTAGTATGCAACATAAATGAATGAAAGTGGATGTAAAGTTAAACATTTGGAACAAATATTTTAATCTCCTTCATAGCAAACAAGCTAATTAAGAGCCAACTTTTAGTTATTCTACCTAGTTATGACTTATAGCATATCCTACAGACTGCGTTTCTTCTCATTGAATTATCTATGAACCCTAAAAGAACACAATATTAATCCTGATGTTGAATTTCATACCAAAAGTAAGGCATTACACTATTTTGGTTTATAAGGAAACACTAGTTACAAATTCAGAATGACATTTATTAATGTTAACCACATTGTTATATCATACATGAAAGGTGTTTGTCAAATTTATTTAACTAAAACTGTTCTACAAAATTAAATAATGTCAGTGGAGTGTTTTCAAGAAAATCTTTTTATTACCATCATGAATTAAACTAAAATGAAGTAAACATCCTTTAGGATGAAATTATCAACCTGTTTCTTCTTATTTTTTTACAACAAGCAAATGTTAGTTCGTCTCAGTTAAATAAACAGTCTTTTTTAATGAAAATAAAAGCTTCATTATGGCATCCATTTTAAATGTGCACCGATTTTTTAAATGGCAGTTCATCAAAGACTTTCTGTATTGCAATTATCCAAAAATGAACTGAAGGTAATTAAATAGAACTTCAATTTTTTTAGTATCATGCGAGTTTATCTTTCAATTTATCATTATAATAGTCTTTTTATCCTAATAGAAATAATATGTCTATTTTCTAGTTTATAAACGTTCTCTTATATAATAATCTTTTTACATATTTTTTAAACTATACTAGCAGTTAGGAGCAAAGATGGATAGTGACTAACAGTGGAATCCAGGGCTCGCGTTCCATCCTACTTGGGATTTGTCAGCTGGATGTACTTACATCTTAGAGTTGATGTTCACTTTGGATTCTACTACTAACCACTATCTATCTTTTCCAATAATGTTTGTGATCTAAGGCAATATCGAGGTAGTCCTCACAGGATCCACATATGTCAACAAGAGATTGATCAATTTCAGTCCCAAATAACAATGGGAAGATACACGTAAACAACACCAATTAGATTTAATATAGTAGAATTTTTGGTTCAGATAAATTTGCTTTTACTATATATCAAAATATAACAAGACAAGATACTGGTAAACAAGTATTTTATATCATTCGAAGTACTCACCGTGAGTGATTAAGTTCAGATATTAGAAATTCTGTTTTAGTCAGATGGAAGTTCGTAATGCTGTATTTAAACTAGCAATGAATAATTTGACATATTTTTATTCACCTTAGAGCTTAAAATGGAATTCAGTCTCAATACTTTCTGTAAATCGACAGTTAAACATAATGAAAGAACAATCTTCGCATTCATGTAAACTTTTGCTCCTTTCAAAATGATGAGGGAAACCATGTGTATGAAATTAAACATATTCTGAAATAATTAACATACACAGTATTTGTGACCCATTTCGAGTAACTGATATTTGTTCTGTTAAGCTCAATTGACTTTCAAACAACTGAATAAATAAAGTTACTCATTACTGCTTACAATAACTGTTAGGTAGAACAGTAATTCATAAATATTTAATAAAATCTTTATAGTATATTTCCCGATATTGCTACATTTTTTTACAATGTTTAACTAGTGGTAATATATTATCAATGTGTTTTCACGATAAGCGTTTTAATCATGAAGTAGATTCTGTGAATAAAATGTTCCGGAAGCTGTATTGAAGGGAACTCACTAGGTAAGGTATTAAATCAAACATGAAGCCTTCTGACCTCAGTTAACGTTCATCAGGTTCGTTTTAATTAATATTGAATTTACTAGAACACTAATGCTGATATAAATGGTTAAAGATAATCGATTGAAAACCTTGAACCTTTTTTGTCCTGCGCGAGATTTTTCAATAAAGCATATAGTTGTTGCCTAAAATCTGAGTACCAGTCTTTGAGTAATGAGCTGATGGAGCTAAAAGTCTCTGGTGGGATATCGTTTAATTAGAAAATATAAGGATACCTGATTAACGAATGTCAACTGACATGGGGATTTGCAGTAGAAATAACGTATGCAGCATCAAAACACTTACATCTGTCAATCAAAACAACAGCAATAAAGTTTCACGAACTCGGAATTTCTTTTTTGAATGAATACCAATGATTGCCATTAAAACGGAATCTCCATTTTCTCCAAGTTTCATAATTTATTTCTATAAAATACTGTAGTTTATGCCAACAGTTCACATAATTTTCTCAAACAAATTGTTTTTATTTGAATTTTCTTATCAGACCTCAAATATTATCCATGACTCTGTGTCCGGTCATTAAGTTTAATGGATTGAAATCTGTTTACTAAAGTTTCATAATGTTTCTGAATTGAATATTTAAAAAAGATACTTATCAAACTAAGATAATATTTCATGTTAACTTATTTGTAAAATATGTTACTTCAGCAGAGAAAGAAATCAGGAAGAAACACTGGAAGTGGGTAGGACACACGTTGAGGAAATCATCCAACTGCGTCATAAGGAAGGACCTCACATGGAATCCTGAAGGCCAAAGGACAAGAGGAAGACCAACGAACACATTACTCTGAGAAATGGAGACAGACATGAGATCAATGAACGAAAATTGGATAGAACTAGAAAGGAAGGCCCAAGGCAGAGTGGATTGGAGAATTCTGGTTGGCGGCCTATGCTCCATTGGGAGTAACAGGCGTACGTAAGTAAGTAAGTAATAATATGTTATACAGTGAAAGAAGTTTATCTTTCAAAAGACGTCACTACCATAAGTCTGAATACCAAACTGTTTTAATTTTGGTTTGACAACGAAGTTATATTTTTTCAACTTCCAAATAGCAAGTACGATTTATGCCTTAACTATCGGAAGGGATTTTGTGGAGATTTAGTATTTTCATAGTTGAAGGCGTGAGTCAATTGAAGCTAGACCACCATAGAAAGCCTGGAAGCACTGGACGGCCGTTCCGTCGAATTATGGGACTCCTCAGCAGTGCGCAGTGCCATAACACACAAATCCATAACGCATATTTTGTAACCTTAACTCAAATTATCGTAAACTTGTACATTACACACTACGGACTTGTTTGTTAATTACTCATTAAAATAATCATGAGAAACCAGTAACTGTCTGATGGTTTCCACTGATATTTCGTTGAATTGGTAAAATGAATACATGAAAATTTCTAACGAAAAACAAAGATATCAACTTAATCTTCATCTGAGTAAGTCAAATTAATAGTTTAATGTGTTATCACGTAATGATTTGTATCTATCTAACAACTATAGTTCATGGCACATATTACCTGTCTTGAATAGATATCATCATAAACATACTTTTATTTAGAAACTATGCGACCATATATGAGACAACTTTACAGTAACGAAGAGAAGATTTATGGTACTCAAATAAATTACTTCAATAGTATTGAAAAAACTGGTTAATTTGAGATAAGATTAAGATTAATCAGTCTAATACTTCTAATCAAAGTATCCGCCAAAATATAGACATGACATTGATTTGACATTTATCATTAAAAATAATTTAATTAACTGACTAATTGATAAAATTAAATACAGATACAACCATTTAACGTCAAGCTTAGCATTACCATTTTTTATCTTAAAATTAATTGAAATAACCATTACGTCGTGTGTTTTGCATATTCTCCGGGTATAACAGTTTTTCTCGTCATTTATTTCATATAGATAATAGAAAAAACTAGTTTAAACGATAGCCGGCTTCCTTGAATATCTAGACTACCTGTTCCTGCCATCTAGATATTTTAACAAGTTATCTGTTTTCTTGTTTGTTTTAATATATCATTATGCTTATTAGTCGCATAACCTATTCAGGTGCGTTTGTGAAATGTTTACGACATTTCTCTGTACAAGTTATAAAAGAGCCCAATCAGAGACATCGTGGTTGCTGGCAATATGAATCGAAAAGAATATACATTAATCAGATGTCTATTCCTGAACTGCTAACATCTATTTAACTGGTTACCACTCAATATTTATCACAAAGGTCTATCAATAAATTATACATGTGACGCTATGAATTAAGCAACTTTGTAATACAGATTTGGATGGAAATGATGCACATTCAAACAGTCATGAAGTAAGTTTCTAGAAACCAATATCAAAATACCTGATTATTTAAAAGTAGCTTTAATAAATAACGTTATATGAACGTATTCTTAATCTGAATTTAAAATATTTTTCTAACTATATCAAGAGAGCAAAGATGGATAGTGGTTAGCAGTGGAATCCAAGACGCGCGTTTCGTCCTATTTGAGATTCCTCAGCTGGATGTACCTGCATCTCAGAGTTGATGTTCACTCTAGGACTCGAACCCAGTACCAATGGGAAGATTCAAACAAACAATTATAAGTGAATTTATATCAAAAGAGTTTTTAAACAATAAAAATCATGCGTAAATTTTATCAAATATATAAATTTAATCTAAGTTTCATCTTCTTTTTCATTAATTTTATAAATAGTCTGTTATTTTAAGGAACGTAATTTAAGTGCATGAAACCATTAAAATATTGTAGAATTTGTAAATAATACAATAGCATAACAGTAAATGGTAGTACCAGGTAATTTATATAACCGACTAATATATTTTTCACCTTATAAGACAAAAGGTGAAACGATAGATAATTTATGGACAACCTTTGAGCAGCACTAAAAGGACCTTGAAAATGTATATCTACTTACAAGGGTTATAAATTAGTGCCAGGGACTAGGATGAGAATTTGCAGTTGAACGTTAAGGTTAGGAATTATATTTGATGTTTTCATCACAAACTGATATCATTCATAATGCCAAAATGATGTTTAGCCAAATCAGTGGATGAATCTCGAGCCAAAATTTAAGACTTGCTATCTGGAATCTGATTGATTCGTCCATAAATTATAGTCTCACCGACAAGAAAAACATCAAGTAATGGTCAGTCTTTGAATTCCTTCCTCTAAATTAGTGTGTGATTAATCCATACTACGTGTGTACTCTTCACTAAACCTTAATAGAAAATCTACTGTTTCATGTTTCATTGTCAGGTCAGTTTATATTTTGCGAAAAAAGTCAATGGCTGGATGATGGTATACCTCTACATATATAGAAATTAATACGTTATTATGAAAATTCTAACTGTTTTAATATTTAGGGACATTTGTACTGAAGTATCAGTATGCTTCTTTCAGTACGTTTGTAAAATTTAAATTGGTTACAAATTTATTTATTATAACTTCAAGTCATATATGTACTATGATTCACGACAATATAAGATAATCATTTATCGTTAGTTTGGGAAGAATTTTCAGTTCAATTAATTCACTTAACTAAGGATTCAATCACTATAGTCAAAAAGGGACTAATCAGAAACTTTGGCATATTATCAAGTATTTACTCACTTTTACCGCAAACATGTTGAAAGAGAGCTGAAATGACTTGTTAATATATATATATATATATATATATATATATATATATAGAGAGAGAGAGAGAGAGAGACGAAGAGACTTTTCAGATGTTAAAATAACTAAGAATGATGATTATATCCAAAATAATGAATTTCATTAAACTAATGATGGTCACTATTATTTTTCTATTTTCCCCTTTATTTCCGGAAGTGGTACTCTATGATTATTAAAGTTAATTATTGCAGGATTTAATTGGAAGGTTATTTAAAAACATTTATAGGGCTATTTTAAACGTATAAGCTAAGAAATCAACGTATTATGTTATAATAACAATGCCTAAAACACTGATAACCGGAGAACTATGATAATTCACTGTAACCGCATAATAAAAATTCCTCACTTCATTGACTGAGCTAGTATAGGTAAAACCCAATCGGCAATCAAATCTAAATAATAGTTTTAAATACTATTCAGTTATTGAATAAGGTTTTTAGGTTATTATTATGGCAGCTCAGCCGTGGTGTACCTTACAGTAAATTCTCCTGAGTTAGGTTCTAATTTGTGGTACATAACCATTTACTACAGTAACACCAAAACACTAATTTGAGAACAGTATACAACTTAAAACCTAAATTTTAAATCCTGTTATCGATTTCACTTAATGTTTAACATTAATCAGTGCTAAACAATCAACTATCTAGGAATTGAATTCTTCCGAAAGACGTTCCATCTTGCTTATCATTTACGTATACATTCAGGACTTGTGGAAAAAAGGTTATTACTGAAATTATGTATTGAATTTAATGTATTTTTGTTTACCATTAATGAGTTATACTTTGCTATCGTTCATTAATTTTATGAGGTGAACATCATATGGTACTATTTGCAAATCATTTATTTTTTAATAAATGAATTTGAAGAAATTTCCTGATATTTAACGGTATCACTGATTCCGCTTAAGAAATAGATGTTGGTTTTCACTATCGAGTTGATAATTAATAGAATAATCTGTAACTCAGGTAGGTAGAACTTCTAGAATTGCGTTTACAATGGAAAAGGTGGATACCCTCTTCTTACTAAATCATACATGAACATAGACCACCAACAAAAAGATATGATGTAATATCGTTTATACCACCGCTTACAGAAAACTGCAAACATATATATGATTGGGAAAATGTCAGCGTTTAGGATACAGGAAATCACAAGAATCTTAGAGAATTTCTGGGAGTGTGAGATTACAATCAACAGGGACATAGGTGTGTGAAAGATCAACCCATTGCACGTTCAGGAATCAATCGGACAAAATAATTGTCAAAAACACGAGGACATTTGAAGATAATAAGATAATATGGTCTATCGACAACAGAGACATCGGAACAGAACGCTTGCAGAATAATCAGAAATCTTACTATCAAGGTAAGTAGACAGTAATGATGTTGTCCAGAATGATATTGAAAGTTTAGAAGTCAAACAACGTGACTCAGATGACGCAAAACTATCAAAAACCAGATAATAAACTGTTAAATTTGTATTCAGTGATAGTGTTCTTAGTTTTAATCACCTGTTAGCTAGTTTTTTTTCCAACAATAAAAATATTCAAAATGAAAACCTTTAAAGGTAATATGTATTGACTGGTTTGATTTTACTGGTTTTTAATTAAGCTTCCATAAGTATCAATTTTATCTTATATTCGGAACACATTCCTACTACTAAACTAGATAAGAAACCCGAAAAGTCAGATAATTTAAGCCCAGAACAAAAATACAGGATTGAAAACACAACAATAGTTATTCAACGTAGAAATCTTTTTAGTTTTTCGATATATTTAATTCAGTATACGAATTCAATTCCAAGATATCAGTTCTTAATGTTGATGAATTCCGAATGGATCAATGATAGACCACCACGATATTGCGCGACCATCTTCTATTGTCTCCACTTGGTAACTATCTCACACCCGACATTGTTGAAGTCCACCGGTCACAACTTCTCACTAGAACTCTGAGAATCACTTCTTGAAGCTAGTCACCAAGTCAGAATGATCACTCAATATCGTAGATTGGTTGAGTTTAAATATTAACGCCATTGTATGTCAGCTCAGTGGTCAAGAGGTTAAGCCTTCGCGCGAGGTCCTGGGATTGAGTTCCACGTGCGAGATCGTGGATGCGCGCTATAAAGAAGTTTTATACAAGGACCGGATTCTCAATATTGGTCTAAAATTGATCGGCTCATGATTTCAACGAAACTCAACAATTTCAAAAACCCTTTACTGACAGTTTATATTTTACCAAATTTAAATTATCTTGTAATTCAAAGGCAAGAGTTTATCCAATCACCTCCTTAAATAAAACCGTGTTTATTTTCAATTCATTATTAGGCATTTGTGATATACGATAGATAACGCGAATTCTTGGTCGGTAGCATCATGTCATTCTATTTTTAAATAACTTGCAACAAACAATTTTTTTCATACAGTTGCACAACACATGAATACGTATGTATTTTGATTGTATACTGTTCATTTGGATAAATGAAATTTTGAGCTGTAAAATTCTGTATAAAGGAAATTATCTTGCCGACCTTGTTTAATCAAGTCAATAATTAAGTGTAATTCATAACATTCTAATAGAAGTTTAAATATACTAGTATCTACCTCGTCGTATTATTTTTTTTTCAAAAATGACAGGTAACAATTACGTGAAAATGTAAAACCGCAGCAGTCGTTGTAACCAGTTATATTTTACTCACCAAAACATTTAAAAAGAATGTTAAGTTAATAATTACTTTCCAAAGTTACTAATCCATTCAGTGAGATAAACGGGAACTTATTTAATGTTTCTGTTAATGTTCGGAAAAATCAAATGTGACTAATGTAATGAGTAATAAGTTTATACTAGTGACTTAAGTAATAGTATTTAGTATTTGATTTTCATATGTATACCTATTACACTTTTTATTCGAAGCTGTCAAGGTTTTTTAGATCCACTAATAATCACTCTATATAGTTGAGATCATGAGTCAATTATACCCACGTCCTATTGTGGGAATCATCAGCAGTGCGCATCCACAATCCCGCCTCATGAAATTCGAACACCGTCGAATGCCGGCTCAGTGGTGTAGTAGTTAATTCTGATAGGTCCCGGGTTCGAATCTTGCGAGGAAACCCACAATAGGACGAAACGGCCGTTCAGTGTTTCCAGGTTTTCCATGGTTGTCTAGCTTCAATTGACTCATGATTTCAACTATATAAAATTTCTAAAATCTCCATGAAACCCCCTTCTGATAATAATTACTCTAATAATGCAACCATTGTATACACTAAACAGTCAGTTGTCCACTTAGTATTCTCATTTTTCTCAAACCATCAATTAGAACACGGAAAAGTAAAATCAAATGCTTTGCATCATTCTACGTGATTATATATATTACTGTGTAAATGATAACTCATTAAATAATGTACATAACTAGGACATTTATGGTATAAAACTAAGTAGCAAGTTTTTTGATCTAAATAAATTGATTTACTGTAGTTGATTAATGACTAAGAAATACAGTAATGTTTAATAAGTCTAATAAAATCTTACAATTAAGACAGTATAAAACTAAATAATATGTCAAACAAATACATATAATATGTACTTATGTACATTGATTCTCTAGAAATTGGCTTCCAAAATTAAACATCTTCGCTTATTCGGTCAATTATAAAGAATCTACTTATCATGGTGTTTTAACTCATTGAAATAATATGGTCATTTTATGACCTAGACGAAAAGTGTAATTGTTTTGTGTGAAATATTTTAATAGCTGGTTTTTTCATATATTCTATAGATTTGTTCTTCTGACTGATATATTACTATTAAGATATATTTATTATTTTAAGCCATTTGACATTTGGTTTAATTCATGCATGTTTTAAACACAGTATTATAAAGAATACTTTTAACAGTAATGTAGGTTTATAGTTAAAAAAATTTTCATTACAAGAGAAATAAAAACTTTTGAATATGATCGATTTACAATGATATTGTAGCTTTTAGTTGTAATTAGTTTCGTATTGAGATATATTTTATTGGCCTTGTAATATTTGATTCCAGATAGATCGTTTTTCTGCTTGCTATTGAAATATACATATTGCCAATCGTCGTATATAAGCATCACGTTAGTGAATAACAGAATTAAATAAGTCAAATACGAGAATGGATTTCGAATTCGTGTATTTCATACAATTGTTGATCCAGACAGACGATCAAAGAAACGGAGTGAAGAAAGTCAAGAGGAGAGGCCGAAGAGAAACAGATCGGTGAAACCATGTGAGCCAACTCGATTTAACCAGGAATGAATCGGTATTTATAGTCAGATAAAAATAAGTTACAGACATGTGATGAATAAAATAAGAAATGAATATAAATACGCTTATATAAAAAGAGTCAAGGTTGATAAGTGAATCAGTGACAAGGCCAAAATGTAACTTGAAAAGAATGAATAGATTGATCTGTTCAGAGGCTAGAGTAACCTATGTCGGCTCGACATAGTACCAGCCCCTAAAGGACAATTATCCAGCGTTAAACTAGGTAGAAAATGTAAACATAATGAATAAAATCATTACTTGACAGCACTTTCTTCCTTTATTATGTTGAAAGACAGTATGTGTAGAGAACATTTAATTATTATCAATATGTAGTAGTAGTTGAACAATAATAACTAGTAAATATTGAGCAAAATAACATTAACAATGATCTTGTGCACACTAGTGATTGACTTCCAGATACAATTCCAAGAGTTCAAATCAAATGCCTCCACAATTGGAGTCTAACAATAGTAAGTGAGAGACAATTTTCCACCCTAATGAATGGTAAATAGTTGCGCAATATGGAAATTTAATTGCAGTTTAACATGTTAACTATTGGACCACCAACTCAATGGTCTAGAGTTTAGACGCTCACTACTAGATTGAAGGTCCTGGATCCAATCACCTTTGAAGTCATGAATGAGCACTACTA